AAAAATACTGTCAAGGTTTGGTACTATTATTCAAAAGTGGCCGTGCTGGTGATACGGACCTATAATTATGGGTTTGTTCCATTCGCCTGGCAATTTTTCTTCGTGCCAGATCTGTTTGAATAGTGTATGTATGGCTTTATGTAGTCTTTTACCTCCTAGTTTAATGAATTCGGCTGGTATGCCATCTTGTCCTGGCGCTTTCCAGTTCCTTAATTGTTTATTGCCTTTATTGTTTCATCGAATGTTATCTCCTTGAGTTCTGCCTCTGCTCTTTGTTCTTTCCATTTCGAAACTGACGTCTCTGGCATTTCACCGTTAAGTAGCTCTTCAAAGTATTCAATATTTCAATATTTTCATGCAATATTTATTCAATGATATTATCAGGTAAACAGTAATTAGTTATTAGCAGTTGATGCGATATAATTTTTACTAAAATTTAACTTATTTTGTAATGTTACATGTTACAACGTAATATTGTTTTATCATTAATACAGCATGGTATTGCACAGTGGGTTTAGCTTGTGGCTCTATTAATATTCTGTCATTTTTTATCTTTGATGGCTTTAAGCATTGGGTTGAATCGTTTGTACTTTTTTATGGCTGCAAAAAAAATGTCTCACATTTTCTTGTGTGAAGTTTTGTTCTGTGGATCGTAGGAGTTCATAAATTTTCTTTTTTCTCTCTGAACGACTTTTTTTGCATTCTCTGCGTTCGGCCTCGAAAGCTTTCTTAAGGTGTGTTGTCTTGTATTCAATATATTCATGCCTTACCTCCTTTCTCTTTTCGGCACTTATCGTTGTACCAACTCTTTGATTTATGCCTAGATTTTTCCAATATTTTCTTTGCGGCAGCTATGATGACTTCTTTTATCGTTTTCCACATGTGTTCTATATTTTTTTCGCCTACCTGATCCGCTTCTAACTCCTTCTCAATTTCATGAATGTATTTTTGGTTTTCTTCTTCTCGCATAAGTTTGGTGATATCGAATTTCATCATTTTATTATTATTATTTGTGCATATCTTCTTTAGCTTAATTTTGCATTTTGCTATGACTAAAAAATGGTCAGTATCACAGTCCGCTCCACGGTAGTTTCATACATTCAAGATAGTAGACCTGAACCTATGGTCAATGAGTACATGATCTATTTGGTTGTACGTATGTCCATTTGGTGATTTCCATGTGCACTTGTGGACATCTTTGTGAGAAAAAGTTGTACTGCTAATGGTCATGTTTCTCGAGGATGCAAATATTATTAGCCTTTGGCAGTTATTATTGCTTCTTTCGTGCGTACTTTGTAGACCAATTTTGGGTATAAACATAGTCAAACATAATTTGAAATATTTTATTATTATTATCATACATTATTAAAATATGGCCAAAGTCCACGTCAAGGACCGAGTCCACTGGATTTACACCTAATTAATATTTTTTAAATATGTAGCTACATTTTTTTTTTTCATATCCCATAAATGTATTCCAAAAATGCAAAGTACGGAGTCCAACGACATCAACACGTTGAAAACCATGTGTTTTTTTCGCTCTTGGTTTCCTGACCAAGCGGTCTTAACTACTTAGCTACTTTAACCGAGCGGACGTCATTCCGGCCACTAAATTCTATCAGATTTTTTCCATCAGTCGAAATTATCACCAACTATGGCAAACCCCTTTTTTTCTAGTCATTATTTTGACAGATATTTTTTTAGATATATATTATTATTGTCATATCACCTGGTCGGTTCCGAGAAGCACGTTGGATTACCTATTTCGTCCACACAAGGTGTCGTAATTATTTGTTACTATCGTCTAAGCGGTTACGATAAAAATAAAAATACAATAAAAAAGTAAAGGTTTTTTTTTCTCGTATCAGGCACTCAATCACACAGATACAATCGTTAAACATAAATTTATAACTAACAGAGTGTACATATAGATCAGTTGAACTGCAAATATAAATATAAAATAGACAAATTAAAATAATTCAAAGTATATTTCAGTAAAGGTTAACAAACAAAGGATACAAAAAAGAATAATGTAAATAAAAAACAAATATCAAATGACAGAATGCGGAATACAATAGAAAAAGTTAAAAGGGCCATGAAGATGAAAAAAAAAAGATGACAAATACATCATGACGGTCGTCCTTGAACCTTTCGCGATATACCGTCGTTTCCCAGAACCGGTTATTTTATTCAATCCGGGTGACCCGAACGATAATTGAAAGTACTATGGTATCGAGGCAAAGGAGTGTATTGATCGTCGTATAACTTACATATAACTTTAAGTTTAACATTAACACTACAATTTACGCACCGAACATAAATGAAATTCAGCAAATTTATTTTTCGTCACCCATCACCTGTTACACCATAGAATCATTAACAGTAGTAAATACATAAACGATTTTTATGGAAATTCACCGACCCTAATCCACCAAAAAAAAAAAAAAAAATCGGAGACCACCACCCCTCTTGGGATTATAGGTTCGGCAATACAGGCGATCGTAAGATAGACAAAGCCAACTAAACATAATCAGACATTATATTTAATGTATAAATTATACACGAGGAGGTAATGTGACATTATCATAATTTGTTGATATCTTCAATGTTTATGGTTGACATTTTATTCAGCATATTCGCAATCACCGATTTGATCTATTCGTTCATAATCTGGTTACTTCTCATGATCTGTTATGCGTATTCCGATCACTAAATGTATTATGTAGTCTTATGAACTCGAACGCGGGTGTTGTTTCTTAAATGATTTGTTATCACAGTAAAATGTATTTCTTCGGAATACTAAACCAAAAAATATTCGTAATGTTACTTGCACATTAATTACTACATATTTATAAAAATAATAAAGTGCAATGTTTTACTTAAATATATATACGCCAAAATAAGTTTTCATTGGATAAGATACAACATGATGTATTCCATGCAACGCAGCTACATTTTTCTCGCTTCTTTGTTCGGAGGCAAATTTCACCGACTTATAAATTCAATTCTTATACGTTGACATCCAATGGATGATTTGAACGGTCTTGACACTTATTTATTTTTGGGGATGATGATTAAATTGTTGTGACGGTGAACAAAAGAAAACTATTAAATCACTTTTAGACAATGAATAAGAATTAATAGTTTTAGGTAAACGATAAACAAGTTGTTAATGTATTCGTAATAACTAGCAGATTTTGTACTACTAGTATCAAATATATATCAAAACGAATTTGTTATATATACATATATATACAGTGTGTTTATGATTAAAGGTGGCATTAAATATTTCAGTTTGATGACCATGTATTGAAATGAGGTTTTCGATGAATGAAATGGAGTGTCAAAATTCACAATTTCAGTTAAATTTAAAACTTTTGACCCGGATAGTACGCATATGCAAAATAGAAATTACTTTTTCTTAAATAGCAACACCATTTTTTTTTCTACATATTCCAATAGAGAATTTTTTTAAACAATTTTTGTCAACTTTAACATACTACAACTTAGTCAATTTTTTAAATGGAAAAAACATTTTTTTGTACAGAACTTGTTTTTTAAAAAAAAACTACTCGAAATGTAGAAAAAAAATGGTGTTGCCATTTAAAAAAATTTAAGTTGTATTGTACATACGCGTACCAAGTAAAAAATTTGATATTTGGCTGAATTTGAGAATTTTGATACTCCTCTTTTATACTCCGAAACTCCATTTCAAGACAAGGTCATTGAACTGACATATTTAGTGGTATCTCTTAGCGTGATCACATTGTATATATATATATATATAGTATTTAATTATCTTAAGAATCAGAATATATTATAATTATTTGATAAGATTTAACAAAAAATATTATATCGAAGACATAACAAAAATATAAAATATTGCTCGTGTAACTAAAATTAAAAATATGTTCATTAGATATTTATATACACATACTATTCTGTATAAAGTGGTAAAATATTTCTAATCAGCAGGGGTGCTATGATTAATAATGGAAACGATTCGATATGATTTGTCATATCATTGATTAAATTACCATATTTAATAATTAAATATCATTAAGATTAATTTATTTTATAATAAAAGATCAAGGATTATTGCAACACCATGGTGTGACAAATAAAATATGTTTTGATAAAAGAAACCCATAAAACAACTCAACGACATGTTAGTCATCTACAAATGTTGGTAGACATACAGATGGTGATCTATATGTCATCTAATATTTATAGATCCCGTATTAAACCATCACATTAAGAAATAACTAATAATAGGTTTGCTTTTACTCAGCCGGGAATAGACTACTACCACCAAAGGAAGTGTTTGTCGATGTACAATCGACAGAACACCTTCGATTCGATTTGGTAAGCATAAAATATTTCTACTACAACAACCATTTTTTGTCGCGTAGGTTCACAAATTCTTTAAGAAGCATTGTACTACGTAGAGAATATATCCCTTTCTCGTCGTTCGAAACCATATTCGTCAATTTTCTTATTGTTTTTTTCAGATTGTAAACCTGTAGAAATCATACGAACGCACACGTTAGAATATACTGTTGACTACCTACTTAATATTGTAGCTTCAATTACTTGTTCCAATTTTTTTCCAGCTGCTATTAGTAGGCGACAAGTATTGTCAAGCCCTCTGTTTGTCAGCTTATCCGGTATGTTTCGCAAAAACTCTAGTAGAGTATGTGCCGATAACACGTTTGCATTAAATAATTCGCCGACAAATCTAAAGTTAACACATATAGAAATAAGTTTTTGTTCCACCGGTAACTTGAACGCTAACGGTAAAATTACGTGAAAGGTTTTTTATGCGTAAATGCGTTTTCACTCGAATCGCTCTGTATTCCGGACTGCAAAACCTGGTTACAACGTATCAGAACTTCTTTCTTAAACGATATAGGCTTCGCGTGTTGTTCAACTGGATTAACTACCAAGTTTTTCAACGAAGAACATATGCATACCAACATTGGAACACTTTCTGGGCGAATGTTTGCCTTCAATAAATAAAAACATAAACGATTATACAGCCGATTCAAGTAATTTGAATAGCAGATTAAATATGTCCTTATAATTTAACAAATATTTAAAAATATACTCTGGCAAAGATGAAGTCGATCGTCTTTTTCATCACGTCGGAATTCGAAATAAGAGTAGACAACTCATTTATTGTAGTATTCACGTTATCTGCGGTCACCGAGTTAATAACCGAATTAACGGTCTTGTAAACATTTAACTAATAAAATATCGAAACATTATTAATATTAATATTTATCTGTTACACAAGGTAAATATTTTAGTTTTTTTTTTCGTTAATAAAACGTATGTGCACTGAATTAAATACCTCCGGGTGTTTGCTCTTTTGGACCGTTGATACAGGTTGCTTGCTTACAAGGGGTTGTTTTGTGTTTTCGATGCGAGACTCTATAATACTGTTTTCTTCAGTTCGGTCCAATAAAATAGACTTTTTACTGGTGGTGCAATCCATTGAACCGTCATTCTTCAGTCTTAGCGTATCCAGAATTATGGACTGCACTCTGGAAGAGAGTTTTTGCTTTTGCGCAGTTGTATACTCGTGTAGCTTCTCGAATACGCCACTCTACGATTTGAAATACATGTTAATAGTTTTTAAATTTTCAGAGTACATACTGTGAGCGCGATATATTCTCTATTATAAATAGTATGTCGCACTAGAATATTCAAATTAATTTATACATAATCGTCGGCAATGAAACTTACTTCGTTCAATGCGTTATCAGTGTGTTTCAATATAACACACGTGCACTCGATTGGTATGTCTTTTTCAATTTGTACTAGTCTAGCAGCACACATCTCTAGTACCGCAGGTATCAAAATGTTAAATTTCATTAGTTCACACATAAATCTGGAAATCATGCGACAAAGAACAGTTTACAACTATAATTTTAATCTCGTTCGATTATTATATTTTTATGTCTCAACCGTGAGCTAACCTGCAGTTTGCAATCGAATGATTCCTGTAATCCGATTCGTTTTGATCGAACTTGGATTGGAGTTTTCGCCGCATTGCCTATATCGTATACGCATTAACATTTTGCAAATGTTTATAAAATAATAAACGGGCATTATAGAAAATCGTTCATACTTTATCCCTGCACGATTCGATTTCGTTGCGCTCTTTGGCTACAGTGCGTTTACGAGTGAATATCGACTCGAATGCTTTTTGACACCTTGCAAGCAAAATACTTTTGAAAGACGTGTTTGATTTCGAGTCTTTCGAATGTACCACCGTGTTTTTCATTGTCGAACAAATAAATGCGTATTGGGGACTCAATATCGTTTCGTCCATTGCCTATTGAATTTAAAAATTACAGTTAATACATTCGACTGGTCTCGAAATAATATGTTTCACAATTATCAAGTGACAGTATATTTTAATTGAATTATTTTCGTATATACCTTTTGAAACAAAAGTTCTACTACTTTCTTCAGACAATCTTCTGTTTCTATTGGCAGTGACATGATATTTTTCGCCATCGAAGCCACATTATCCGGAGTTATATTGTTTAGAATAGTTTGATATTTTTTCAGGGTTTCCTAAAACAGCAACAGAATATGTTTAGTTGCATTTACTCGTATGTATCATGAATTTATGTACATGTACTTCTATTTCAATATGTTTATCGTTTATTGAATGTAAATCATTAGAACTATCCATTTTTTGTTCTATAACTGGCATTAACAATGGTATATTGTTCTTAACAGAATCACTCCATTTCATTGGTAATGATAGCTGTTTTGGACCGTTTATCTCTGTAGGTAATTTTTCATTTTGAAGCACATTGTCGTCCTAAAGAAAAATATGTATACTGTTAAAATAATGATTTCATAAAACTGTTAAAAAACTATTAAAACTTATAGTTTATATTTTCACTGATTAAAGAATATTTCAACTGGATTATCGTTTGATATATATATTCCAAAATAAATTATTACTTTTCTAATATCTGTAAGCAGTTTCGTATTGTTCTGCTCGTTTGATTTTTGTAGAATGTTTTTCTAATGAAATCGATGCAAAGATATTATTACGTATTATGTAAGACTTTTATTTAAACGGCTTAATTTTAGTAAGTAAATATTTCAATGTGTAAAAAATTAATTATTTACCATCAACATCACAGGTGTTGTAGTTGGTGTGTACTGCCTGTTAACACGTATTCCCGTATTCTGTATTGATTTTACACAGCTCAACTGCCCTTTGGGACGCGCATTTCTGGGTACCCAATCATTTTCCTTGAGTTCAATGACGTTTTGAATCATGAACCTTATCCTTGTCGGTACCTTTGTCTTATACGCCTCAGACGCATACTCGTTGAGCTTTTTAAAAGTAGCTTTCTGTAATTTTTACCAAACCAACAATATTATAATATTTGATTTCTATTAATTTCTCAGCGATCGAAAACGTGTATTTTAAAAGTGTAAAAACTCAAAAGAGTAATCTTACGTGACTTAATGTTTTCCCGGTATGTTTCAACACGTTACACGCGCATTCAAGCGTTTCTTCGTTCGGTGTCCTTAGAAGATATTTCATGCTCTCTTCTAGAGTCTTACTCGTTAATATTTCTATTTTATACAGTTCGCACATAAATCTGAAAATCAACGAATACATTGCATACGGCTTAAATTCCATTCCTATATAACACGTTCGTACCTGCAATTTCCAACCGATCTTTTTCTGTACACCATTTCATCTTCATTGTGTTTGGTCTGCAGTTGCGCTTTAATATCCTGTAACATTTTATTCGCATTATATTTATCGGTGGTCAATGTAAGAGATTTCAACGAGATGTTCACTTGATTCGGGCAATCTTCTACTGCCTTAAGGCTTTTTGCTAATGCCTCTTCGTGGGCACGCATTTCGTACAGCCTGTCTTGACAGCACTTGGTCAACATATTTTTGAACGTCGTTTTCGACTTCTTATCGCTCTGCTTGCTTTCTTTTTTGTGCATTGCCATGCCTATATATGCATACTGCGGCGTGAAATTCGGTTCGTCTATGGCCTAGAGAGTGTTCGTAAACGGTTAAAAATATTAACAATATTTATTTCCAGAAACTGGTATGTATGTATTGAGATGGTTCGTCTTAGCGGGTACCCATGTATTTCGTACGGTCTATAATTCAACATACTTTTTGAAATAGTAGCTCAATGACTTTTTTCATGCATTTCTCCGTCTTGATTGGCAATGACGTAATGGTGTCCGCCAACAAGGTCATATTTTCCGGCGTTATTTTGTTGAGAGCCGACATGCATTTTTTACGTATTTCCTTGATCAACAAAAAATAATCATAGTAAATCATGTATGTAATTGTACAATCGAAATAAAATATCTTGCGCGGACAACGATCCACCTTGAACTTTACTCGTCGTGATAGTGTAATCGTTTAGTTTATTCTACAAAATTATTATTTACTTCTATCTCCACGTCCTCCTCGTTCAGCGGCTGACAATTGTTCGTGTCTTTCGCTCTGAGACACGACGGAACCCATGCATTCTTGCATGTTTGCAGTTGGACGGCATCTCCTCTGGCCAGGGAATAATTGATCACTTTTCGTTTCGGTGGTTCCGTACTAGAACTCACTCGGCTGAATTGCGGCATCATCGTCTAAGGTAATCATTTAAAAATAGTAATTTCTTTAGTTCAAAGTTGCATAACATGTCGATTGGCACTAGAATACCGTCGTAGGTGTTCTTAAAGGAGCCGATTCATATCTCCACGATTGATAGGGATATTGATCCCGGTTCATCGGACGTCCGTTGACCGTTCTTCGGGTACCAAAAACCTCGTTATTCGTGTTCACGGACGCGTTGTTCGATGTTTTGGAAGCTGGATGTCAGTTGTACACGATTAATCATTACATTCATTTTAGCATTCTATTAACAGTGCTTTAAATACATACCGTTGATTTCCTTGAATTGACTCATCTTTTCTATATTTTTGATTATTATGAAATTATTAAACTTGTATAGGCGATTATTTAACCTTACTGAAGTTAATAACTTTCAAAGATACGATCAGATAAGAAAAATTCGTAATTATTATTTTGTGGCGTTTAGACCTTAAGAAATCGGAAGACTGTAATGTTTTTCGATTTGCTTTTACTCATCGGTTAATTTTTTTATGTCGCACGGTAACCAAAATAATAGTAGTTAAAATGATGTCAGCCAACAATTTTAATTAAAAACAATATATTATGATAAATTACTAAATCGTTTATACGGTCAATAATTTTTATCGGCGAAAGTGAAACTTGATTTCCTCATAAGTTGTTCTTAACTATTTGAATATATTGTTTTAGAGATTCTGATCCAAATGAATGAAAGGATGTACTGGTTTTATCGTGACGTTTGTAAATGTTCTTTTTTATTTCAAATGTTCTATAACCATTGGTTTTTTTTTTTTTTTTTATACAATAACGTTTTAAATGTTACTACATAGTATTTTTAATCATTAGTATCGATGCGTCGGAAATCTTTGCTAAGGAATATTTTACTGAGGTTACGAAACAATAATATTTCGAAAATTTCGTTCCGTTTAAATTGTTATTAAAACAAACTGCTTTACAGCAACTTATACAGTTGAAATAACTTTGATTTTCTAAACTTTGGTACGATAAAAATTAAATAATACATCTCACTAACTATGCCGTGACTGGAAGAATAAAACGACTGCGAAAAGAGTTTTGTAAGCGTTCGCGGAGCCGCTTAGTATAAAAAGTTAAGCTTTCTTTAATTAAAGCCTTTACAATTTAACTTATCGACTATTTCCAAACATTAAGTCTCCAATTTTTTTTTTTTTTCGTGTAATACGATATCAATATTATTATCTTTCACACACATCAATTTTTTATTGAATAATTGAATATTTTATAAAAAAAAACCTACAGCCTCAGTCGATTATTCCTTAGGGGACTGTTTGGATGGGCTGGTAGTTCACTGATCAGCATTCCCATGGCCAGTGGGTAGTAATGAGCAAAGTTGGTCTTGGTCTTGCAGTCTTGGTCATTGCCCATCATTCTTTTACGTAATATCAATCCACCACGACTCTGCAACGATACCAGGCTTTCAGTGAAAATGTTGATGAACAACATTACCGAAGGTACAATTTTAAACGAAAAGTTTAAAGGAAAAGGTGCACTGTTGCCACGCATCCCGATGATCCCAACAGATATCGTTTTGGAATTCAAACTTTGCAGTTTCCTATGCGACTCACTTTTGCAATGACCATCAACAAAGCACAAAGACAATCGCTACAGAAGTGTGTGAACTGAATTTGAAAAATCTATGCTTCTCACATGGACAACTTTATATATATACTTATATACTTATATGGCATGCTCACGCATTGGAAAACCTTCTAATTTATATGTGCACGCACCAGAAGGAAGAACAAAAAATATTGTGTGTCCAAATGGACTTCAACAAATATCGTCAATGAATATTGAACTGTCTCGATAAAACGAATACAATAACACAATGATAAACTAAATTGAAAAACCGTTGTAAGATTATTACGTAGTATGTTTTAACTGTTATCCATCTATACGTATAAAAGTATACTGGTAGGATACTCGCAAGTAACGAATTTAACACACAGTCTGAGACTTATAAAAGTTAGGATTTTTAACGAGCTCGAAATGTACGGGTCCAGCTAGTAAAGCTAGTATAATTGCGGATATTCCAAGGGCAACATTTATATACACTAATTCGTTTTCGTTTATCTTAATTTTCCGTTTATTAGTCCACCTTGAAATTTGATCTGAATGATGGTAATGCACATCGTTACCAGCTCTATAGTCGGGAGCACGAAAAATGATCGCTGCTCGTCATGCGCCAAGCGTCTGTTTTTCTAGAGTGGCTATCAAATCTACGCTCATTATTCATATTACCGCCACAAACATATAAAACAACTATATATACATATACCTATATTTGTGGTTATCGTTCATTATTCGTGCCCGTGAATATGATACGTAACGGCAGCGTGACGGTATAAAGATGAGAACCACTGGTCGCAACAGTGGGTACCAACGCTCTTTTTTCGTGATTCCGACTATATTGTTGGATATTTATTTGATGACAGTACTGCGACATCAACAGCATGTATGGTTGTGCGACTTACGCTCGTGCAAGTAATGTGCTTGAACAGCGATCTTTTTTTTCGAATGTTGGTGACATTTTGTCGGTCATTCTGTGTACTCGTATTCGGTGGGTTGTCGGAATCCAAATTGGTTGTGTGGTACGATTTTCTTTTTTTTTTTACGAATGTTGATTTGTAAATATATAAATATTAATATCGTTAAAACAGATAATTATTTTAAATAAAAATATTTTTAATATTTTTTTTTAACGTCGGTAATTGGCTTATTGAATGACATAGCCCTCAAATATTTATCTATCCTCCACCTAATAGGTACAGATAGAAATTAAAAAGTAAGAGTAATTTACCAATGCAATACCGAAAAAAAAATTTGTCTCCCAAAAATATAATTCTGTATTGTTATAACTAGGGCTCGGGACTTCTAGGAACTTGCATGTTTTTAAATAATTATCAAAAATATAGCTAAGTAATATTTAAATTTGTTTCAAAGCAATACAAGTTTATATTTAAAATTTATAGTTGCATATTTTGCATATTTGACCATTTTTCGTTTATAATTGCATATTTGACTATTTTTAATTTTATAAATGCATATTTGACAATTATTCATATGAAGAAGTAAGTTTTTAAATTTTATAAAAAAAAAAATTATGATTTATTTCTTCATATATCACGTGACTTGGAACTCAAGGTGTCTTATTGGTACACTTATTGAATGCATTAAAATGATTAAAACTATAAAAAACGTATACATTCTGCAAAAATTGAAGAATTTGCACAAGCTAAGGCTAACTATAAAAAATTTCGAACATTTTAAATGGAAAAATGAATCTATGGATAGATTGCCTGCAGATATTATTAGTAGTGACCTACGATTTTTTAAGTTTGCACTAATAAGTTCCGTAGACGTGTAACGTTCCTTTTCTAAATATAAAATTATTTTGGCTGATAACAGACAGTTATTTAAATTTTCCAACTTAAGAAAATATCTTATAGTCCAATGTAATGCTCGAGGTTAGAAGAATTATAACTATATTAAAAATAAAAAAAATGTTTTCAATTTAATTTATTTTTAAAACCATTTTAAATATTTTGTTTTAGATAAAAATTCAATATAAGATGAAAAAAAATTTGAAAAAAAGAAAAAATTATCTCAGATCATCATATCTATCATATATAAAAATATTATTATAATTTATTACTAGTTAAATTTTTTTATTTAATTAATTATTACAAATATAATTTTTTTAAATACATATTTTAATAGCATATTTATTGATTCTTTTGGGCATAAATGCATACATATTTTAAGGTTTTTAAGGGCATAAAGTCCCTAGCCCTAGTTATAACGGACGGTATGAAGTATGTTTAAGTTTTTCTGGTTTGGAGATATTTATATCACCTTAGAAAAATACATAAATATGAACACATGTATGGAGTTCATTCTCGCTTACAAAAGGGTTTACGGGCACCACTGAAATCAATATTAAAATTATAGAATTATAAAACACACTTTTATTTTCAACAAAAAATACTTTTAAGATTTATTACAGTTTACAAATGTTATGTACTTTATACTAACATACAGGTAATATTTTTCTAAAATATTCTCCTGTCGTCATTATAATTTTCTTGGTTTGTGACAATAGTCTGAAACAAATATTTAGCTGGCCAAAAGTGTCATTCCAAAAAACTAAAGAATATTAAATTTTATAATGAACTATTTTTTGTTATAGTATTATGTTGGTAAATTAAAAATATGAGATCATTAGATTATCAAAGCTTACACAGCTTTTTTATTGGAAACATTTAAATTTTTATCGAATATTTCCAATTTTTGCACAAAAATCTATGTCATTTTTTTCATACTTAGTAAAAAATCTTAAAACTTTAACTTTCTCAATTCACAATTATTATATTGTTTTTAATATAATTACGGCATTTTATTTTATTTTTATTTTTTTTTTTCTGTAATACAATATCAAATTTAACACATAAACACAATTTTTTCATTATTTTTCGCTTTTAAGGAATATTACTTAAAACAACGCATTTTTATAAAATATTCAATAGACACATGTTATAATACAAGTTGTGAAGAATAAATTAAAAAGAAAATAATTTGCTCCAAATTGTTCTAATTATTTAGACGTATCATTTTCCCCAAATAAATACTTACACTCAATAAAAATACAAAATACAATATTAACTAAATTAAATCTTAATTAATACTGTTATTAATAATTTTAATTTAATTTAAATTTTTATATTTATTTGAAACACATAGGTAAATATTTAATTATACACTAATTTCTGAAAATGATTGGTTTAAATAAGTATAAGAACCATTATTTGGTTCTGGTATTCTTAATAATTGAATAACATCTTTAGATAGTTCTTGTACATAGGTCTTGGAAATATTTCGCATGGATCAGATGAAAAAAGTAAAATATGCTTCAAATCTTCGTATTAAACCTTGACGTTTTTCTCGTATTATATTCTCTGAATACTTTGTAGTCTTTATTTCGACTTTCTTGTGCTTCTTCCGATAGTTTACCTTAATTAAACAATATAATAATGAAATTATATATATTTCTACATTTTTTTTTTTTTTAATTAAAAAATGTAATTAAAAATTAATTTTTTATAATTAAAATACCTATTGGGAGAGGAGCAAATCATATAACATCTGCACCGTGTAGTAACACTTTATGTACATTTGCAGGCATGTTACTACATGCCAAGTAGTACCAAGGATACAATGAGACAAATTTTTTTGCTGTTATTAAACAGCACTCTTCGAAATAGTCAAAATTGATTGTGTATCCACTTGAAATGGCTGATAATATGTTCCCACATCGTGGTATCAGTTCTATATTAATCCTCGTGCAAGCTGCTGAAATTTTGGGATTTTTAAATAAAGTTCTTGCTGTATTTCCGTAATTTGTTGTTCCATGACCTATGGAAAATAAATGATTTACAAAAATGAATTAACATTACTCTCGTTTAAATTGTCAACAATATCGTTTAACTTAAAAGTATACCTTGTAATACCACATCAATTAAAAGTACCATTTCAGATCGAAATTTGTTTTGTATGCACCATTTCCTTGTATTGAAAATATTTTTATGAGGTGTTTTAACCTTTAATATACAATAAACAGTTATTCACTAATTTTTTCAAAGAATTTTTTATACGTATACGAGTATATACAATTTTTTATTAATTTTTTTAAATAAAATACAAAATTTTAAATATAACGAGATAAGCTTCCACAAATGTAACATGTCTGGCTTGAAGTTCCAGTAATCGAATTACAAACCTTTTGAAAAAAAAAAATTGTTTCACAAAAAATAATAGTTTTAATAATAATTATGTTTTATTATTTGTTTACCGACTACATACGAGTAAATATTACCTTTCCGTCAACCATTGAAAATATGAGTGTATGTTTGACTTGAAAATCATAACCATTATGTACAACATGTGTGTTTGATAGTTTTGTTATCTGATCTTCAGCTTCTTGAACTTTTTCTTTTTTTTACTTTCAGAAGTTTCTTTTCTAAACATAAATTTTATGGACTAGCAGAATATAGTCGATGACGGTAAAGGATTTTGCCAAATAATATGAAAATTATTACTTTTACGACTATTATTTATGATTTCTGGAAAACATCTTAGTTCAAGAGGTGCAAGTGAAAACATGAACATTGACTGATCTGTCGTAATAGGTGTTGATGTAGAATCACCAATACATTTTTGTTTATACTGAGACTGACCGCTATTCCCATCATATCCCATTTGTATATAATTTCTAACTTGGCATTTAATTTTTTATCATTAATTGACGGTATTTTTAATATTCTTTTAGTAGTATGACCTATAAGATTTTGGAGTACTATTTTACAACATGATTCTTGTATTTCAATGTTGTTAGGTTAACAATTTTTTTTTCTATTCATACATTTTCGTATGATGGATATATATCACTGATTCTATTTTTAGAACCGATGCGAATATTTTCATATTTCTGTGTTGTGAGTTTATTATCAATTATAAGAGCCAAAGCATCAACTGGGGTATAAGGAATAGGACGAATTTTTTTTTATACATGTGGAAGCTGACCTAATTTTTTTAGCTCTATTCGGCGAATATTAAAAATTTTCAAAGAAAGAAGTTACATTGCTTTGTCCAGGCATAAACAAATTATTTTTTTCAAACGTTTTATATTCACGTCTAACCGTGAACTATTTCTGAGATGATTTTAAATAAAAAATTGACTACTTCTTTTTCGATCATTTCAGTGTAATTATAAATCCAATTTAACCCACTCAATTAATTTACTAAAAAATTTAAAATGACTTTCTTAGTAGCTACACTAGTAACTGACTGCATGGATCCTTTTTCTCGAATTATTTTTATTACATCTCGATTATAAATTACTTTTGTAGAAGTCACATCAGCTAAAAAAAAATTACGTACTATTACGACTACATTAAATATAATATTATTTGTACTACAGCTTGAAATAAGCCAATATTTGCACACAACTAATGTTTAACCTATTCATAGTATTTAATATTTAAATTTAACTTACCGATCTGTCCGTCCATAATTAAAAATTTATATTAAAAATAAAATAAATTGAAAATGAACAAAAAAATTTTCTAATGATATGAAATGTATATTTAGATAAAATTATTCATTATAAAATTTAGTATTTTTTAGTTTTTTGAAATGACACTTTTGGCCAGCTAAATATTTGTTTCAGATCACTGTGTGGCGATCGATTCACAGCATCAATGCACGTCGTTTGAACCGTATACATTCGTTTAACTTCTATGTCGACGTACAGTGGTCTGAAACCTCAATTTAGACGGTAAAATCCCCATGTTTGAATAGTTATTTTTTTCATTTATTTGTATTTTTGTATTTTGTATAAATATGCATTCTAAGGAAACTTAAACGGAGTTTTAAGTTCCTATGTACAGATCAACGGGACTTACAGAGGTTTCTTTAACGTTTTTTATGGTAAAATCGCTATTTTATCAAAATATTTACTTTTTTTCATGTAATTTTTTCTCGATTCAGTATTTTTTTTTTTTAAATATTTTTATACTATTAACTTAAAGTACAAGCTCTTTAAAATAAGTGACATGTATAGTTATGTAAATTAAGTTAAGTTTAATTAAATTTTTTTACGAACAATATGAAATAGTAATTATTTTTATACTAATAATAAAAAAAAAAAAATTAAATTTACATAATTATATTTGTCACTTATTTTAAAGAGCTTGAGATTTAAATTAATTGTATTAAAATATTTAAAAAAAAAATTTAAATATTGAATCGAGATAAAAAAAAATCATGGAAAATAAAATAAAATAGTGATTTTACCAGAAAAAACGTAAGAAAAAAAAAAACGCTGCAAGTCCCGTTGATCTATGCATAAGAACTCCAAACTCCGTATTAAGGTCCCTTAGAATGTCTATTTGTGCAATGTAAAAAAAAAAAATCAAACATGCGGTTTCTGCCGTTTAAATCGATGTGTTCTGAACACTGCGCGACGGTCCCGAGAGCCCATTCGAATCCGTGTACGTGGAACCCTAACCCCCCCCCAATCGGGATCCCACGGTTGACCTTCGCGAGGTACGTGTATTTTTTTCCGTTTCTTATACGTTCTCTCAGATGCGCGGGCCCGCGTATTCGACCAGCATCGCGTAGTTCTTGCACACCATGATGTAGACGTTCCGCGACAGCGATTGGCTCATGTGGTCCAGCATGTGACCGGCCGCGGGACCGTCCAACATGTACAGCGCGTCGGCCACGTGCTCCGTGGCCAACTCCAACTCGTTCGCTTCCACGCACCGCGTGGCCCGTTCGAACATGTTCACCACGTACGCGCGCGTCCGTATCGCGTCCTCCGGATCGGGCATCGCTGAAAGCCGCGATCGCAACCGACAGATTCTCCTCGACAACTTCGCGTCCCTGTCACAGAATCGCACAGATGAAAGCGCTTCGTCGAACGGCTAACCTGACCACCCGCGGCTCCCGTGACATTATCGGACACGATAACGATCGTATTAATGATGGTAAAAAAAAAAAAAAAGATAAAAAATTCGTGTCGCAACCGTCTTGGATCGTTAAGCTAGGAACGTCTCTTGATATGCGACGCCGCGCGGTAGGATGAATTGGCCCATTTCTAGCTTACGTAAATTAACGGCCTTGAAACCGTATTGCACAAAATCGTGCGATACGTCAAAGTTCTGCTACTTTGAACCTATTTCTATATTTTTTTTTTCTTGATATGGACAACTTTAATGTTTGATTTTTAACCGTTTTTTCGTATTCTGTTCACCGTTTATTAGTTCCGTATTTAATTTTAATTATATCCAACAAAATAGTTATAGAAACAATATTTTCAAAGTCTGAATTCCCTCTTTGACGCAATGAAATCCGAATTGTTGGTGGCTTTTTTTAGGTCGTCGAAAAAGAAAGGCGAAGGTTATGATGTATCAACTCCGAAAGAAAATCAATAATATTTTCACCAGATGTAGAGGGGTGGAAATTACTAATCATCAGCCGTTATGGACGTGATATCATATTGCTAGTAAAAATAAAAACTGTAACTGATCTCAATTAATAGTTGACTAAAGGTCTAATAATTGAGTCTAATACACTCTCAATATACTCCCGTCCCCGGGTGTTACGTTATTCTAACGACCGTAAAAATGTGTCCGTTGCTACGCACCGACTCCTACCAATAAACCAATTGCCGAGAGACATCGTTGAAATTCGTTTATTCGTAGCAGTAAAAACGAATTCATTATTGGTTTTTTAACCGGCGACCGGCGTTCGAGACAGTCGGTATCGATTACTAATGCGCGGATTACGGTCGTTCTCTCGGGCTTGAGTATTAATCATGAACCATGATTATAAGATGACTAGACCGCCATTATATATAACAGCAAATAAAACTTTGATCGATGTACTAGAACGATTCCCGTTCCCGATTTCAGCCCCCCCCCCCAAACCAACGACGGAGCGGACGTAATGGAAACGTTATCGTCGAACTGATTTTAAGCAATTAATTTTTATTTAAGTTTATGATGAAAATTGGCTATTTTTGCCTCGGTAGTTATGTACTTCCTGGTCGGTTAGAAGAAGAGGGCTGGAGGAGTATGTTCTTTCTAGTCAGACGGTCGATCCCGAAGAACGAAACCGCCGGAGGCCGGGTTCAAAATCAATAATTATTTGTCACAATTGTAAATTGTAAGAAACTGATGGCAGCTTTGGCTTCTGGCGTGTTTTTGAAGAGTAAAACATAATTTAAAATAATTTACAGGCGAAATAAATGCTGTACAAACAGCTCTTACCTTTCTTGGTTGTAAACAACGACGAACAATAAAAACAGGCTTCCGATTATTAGCGGAGCGGATATTGAAATTGTTTTTATGTTTTCAAGTATACAAGACAGTACCATTTTATTAAGTTTTTTAAAACTTGTATTGAATTTCGGAGAACGATATTGGTAATATTTATGTATTTTCGTTATAATCGCAGATTTGTATCAAATGTGGAACTATAGAAACTGTTTTGATTGTAAACATAGATATTTTAATAAAATTTTAATCTAATAAAACATATGTTTTTTACAACACCTATTCTCATTTCGAACCATGTTTTCTAAAACGATTGACGCGTGGAGATTAGGATTTGTGGTTTCCGTTGCCTCCTAAAACCTCATATTTTTGATAATAGCTGAACAAATCGCACATTTTTGGTAGGTTAAAATCGCACACATTTAACAGGTTAAAAACGCACAATTGTTGCATCCAAAAACCGCACACTTTTGATTTCGACCCCAAAAGGGTTATACTTACCTAGATTAGGAATACTTAATAATTTACAATTTATTCAAACAAAAAAAAAAAAAAACATATACGAGTATTCTAAAATGTAAAAATATTTAAAAATTTAAAGCGTGTAAAACTGTTTAAGTTTGGCTGAAATCTATTACCGACATTTTTTAAAAACTTCATACGATCTCCGTCGATTAAAAATTCTTCCCGATATTTAAACATGTGCTCCTAAACTTAATACAATTTAATTAAAAATTGAAGTGTTATAACGTGTTAGCATGATTATTGGAGTAAATCTTATAATCTTATCTCATCAGTTAGAACTCAAAATAGTGTGCGGTCTTAGCCACTATAAGTTTGGGGTATTTTGTTATACAATGACCGATAAAGTGTGCGGTTTTTGTCCATCGACCTTTTCAAAATCAAAAGTGTGGCGGTTTTCGGATGCAACCGCGGTTTCGATGTACTAGAACGATTCCCGTTCAAGTGTTATGAAAATGTTTACATTACCTAACGTAAATCGTTTGAACGTGAACATTTTCCAAAAAAGTGCTCGGCGGCTCGCGGGATTCGAGCGGCGGGAAAAAAGTAACGCGGTAACGAGACGAAAAAGTTAATAAGACGTAACGAAACAACGGATGAGTGCAGTGTACGAGTGCGGAGCTCGAAGAGAGCGATAAACGTTGTAGCTATTTTAATTTCAGTCTTATACCAGTGTACTATTGTACCGTACACCGTGTTCAAAACGGAACGGAGATTTATCTGTCAAGTCCTTGGAGCTTTACGAGAAATATCAATGCACTTCAGTCGGCGTTTCAATCGATTCAAAATATAATATTGAATAAACCCGGAGCTGAAACGGTATATAAGATACAACGAAGTTGCAATCAATCAACGGACGCCATGGTTTTGTGTGGAACTGTGTAAACAGTTAAATGCGATAAATGTTGACGCCGCAAGAAACACGCGCGTGTAAACCTAGCACAACGGAGGTGCGTTTCCCTGGGATCACAATGTTGGAAAATTCAAATTTTTTTTCGCGCCATTATTTGTTCCATAATTTGCACCACCAATTTCAGAACTCGTACCGACGAATTTCCTACGGAAAAATCGATTTCCTCACTGCGGGGAAACATTTCCACGGCGTAATATATAATACGGCTAGGTTAACCTAGTAACTTCACCCGCCATACCCATTGTTATCCGGTACAAAAAATGTTAACACGATTCAAATTCTACACGTCTTGGACACGCGGAAAACTCGAATGTGACTCGAGAAAAGACTGATTCGCAACCGATATCGCCACGGACTGTTGTGTAAGTCTATTATGCCGAACACCCGACTGGTTAAGCGGTGCGTGCAGTGACACGACGAACGAAATAATAGAACATCGATCGCGTACGCATGTTGTTTTTATTAAATAAATACACAAGAAGTGTTATACATTTTTAATTTTTTTTAAATCCAGTCATACGTTTACACAGTTCACCGCACACTTTTAAGGAAGGTGTTCGAAAAGTTTCGATTTATCGGAGAACAATGCCGTAGCGCACTTATTGTAACAGATACGCGGACAAAATATAATAATCAATGTTCGAGGACGAAATCGATTTACGAAACGAAGAAAACAATAATTAACAGTACAATAATACTTCTATTTGAACAAGCTACACGTTTCGCAATCGAAATGAAGAATAGTATAATCTATAATTTACGTTTAGGCGTATATAAGTTTGTCATAAAATAATTTGCTACTCATATTAAATATACAAATTAAACTAATATTATTATTGTCACGTGTTAGATAGCGTATAAAGGTAACATCAACACATTTATAAAATCTAAATTACTTTACGCGGTGTCAACCGATTTCTTTCATTTTTTTTTCTTTCTTTTTTTTAGACAAATGCGCGAAGATACAAATAATGACGTATAGGTACAGTATTCGTCAATTCGCAGATTCCACCGTATTTATAAAACATTTCTTACGCGTTTCACTTGATACACATTATCTTATACAAATATAAATTACTAAACGTAACCGTACGAATCCGTACATTTTAGTTAAAAATAAAGTCTTAAGCGATTTAAACATTTACAAATAAATTTTATATTATCGTAATATTAAAAGTTAACCTAAAAATGTAACGTTTACTTATTCGTCTAGAAAAAATTATTGTCGAGGTTTACATAAAATTCAAAATGACGACTCGTGGCCGTTAATTATAATACTAAGGAATAACAATAAAAATACGTTCAATAATAAATGTGAAAGTTATTGTCACCGAAAACACAGATTTGTTCCTTATAAAATAGTACACGTACGAGAGTTATATTGTACACAAATATATAAAACATAAACTGTTTGTATGAATACATTTACATTTTAGGTACGCGGGAAATCGGCTTATCCCATTGCACCTACGCAACGTGTGGTACGATTGATTCGATGGGGAAACTCGGTATTGCTGTCGGACAGCTGTAATTAACATTGTTATTATATATTATTTTGATATTATTTTAATACTTATTATGTATTATTTTGTGCTCGATTTTCGTTGTTTGGCCGAATAGTTTCAATCCACTATCACGCGGATAAACACAATTGCGTGCAATGTTACAACGTTTTTCCCGGTACCGTCAATAATTATTTAACTTGCTTAATACATATATATATATATATAGATTTAATAAAATATTTTTATAACATTACGGTACAGTGTATTTAAAACTGAGGTTAAAAACTTAGAACACATCATATTGTAATGATTAACATTTTCTCTCTGTCTCGTCGAAAACGAATGTTTCCGCGCGAAGTGAAATCACAGGAAACGTCCTGAATGCTTTTGCGGTTGTTGATGTATTAATATTATCTCGTACAGGTTTGAATCGCCGTTCTTTTTTTAATCCCAACAACTAGCGGTTACGGTATGTAATAGTTTTTTGCCGTGCACAACACAGCAATACGGTTTTTTTTAAATTTTTTTTTTTTTTTTTCTAATGGATCTAAATTTTCGATTAACCGCGTAATACTATACTGAAACACTACTGTCGACCCGGTATTTATAACACTTTATAACACTGTTATTATGGATATTTAAAAGCGCGCTTCGTAGTTAGACGTTCGGTGAAATCGCTGTTATGTAAATAAAGTACACGCCCACATGATATTTGTATAAATTGCGTATCGACGAAAAAAATGCACAATGTGAGCGAATCGTTCGGTACGTCGGTGGCGGTTCGTTGGAAAAAAAAAAACAATATGAAACAGCCGTGCGCCAAAGCGACGTGGTGTACCGATTTAAATTTATATTAAATTTCAGATACGGTTTTACTAGATTTTTTAATTTTCTTATGTAAATTTATGTTTCGACGGAGAAATGAGAAATGTTCATAATTTTTCGGTCGTATACACGAAAACCGCAGCACTACGTATACGATTTCTTGACGGATGACTAGATCACGACACGCATCGAACTGTTAATGATCGACGGCAAAAGAATGGACGGACTAAGATGAACGATATTGTGTTCTCAACGATTTGCGAAGAATAAAAAAAAAAAAAAAAAAACCCGTACGCTCTACGACGTGTAATAACAATAAACGTGTGTAGCGAAACGTTCGATTCGACGAGAGAGAGAGATGTAACATTCGTTTGTAATGTAAATATGATAAAAACAATAATAATGTGTAGTACGGACGTAGGTACTAATGCGACGTTACGTCGTTTGGGTGTACGTGATGTTAAACCGAAGATTATATTACGAACGTGTATTATAATCCGCGATGTTATTACGCACCAATATTTTAAATACTTAAACAATTAATAAATATTAGTAAAAAAAAAAAAAAAAATAATTTTCAACGTAACAATATTAATAATAATAATAATTATAATCACTTAGAACGTATAGTTTATTGTCAATAGTTCATTTGATGCGTATTAGTTATGCGTATTCGCCTTAAATTTAATCGACTAAAAACTAGAAAATATTATTGTCATCGTGTTATCGACATTCGGTTCGAACGCGTATTTCCGGTGCACGTACGTCCGCCGCACGGGAAAAGTCGGATAATTGATGTTGACGGCGAAAACCATTCTTATCCCCGTCGTGCACGTCATGTTTGTTACACGTTCCGTTTGAGCAATACTGTTCGACGTAGGACCGACGGGAGAAAATGTACGGGACGAATATTTTCTCGCGAGCCGCACGCGTTTCACGGAGACCTACACCCGAATGGGACGAAAATCGATCGAACCGCACGGCGGGTTTTCGGGAGAAAAAATGAAATCAATTAAAAACAAAATTAAACGTTCGCCGGGAACACAGTGTTGCTCGAATGTGCGTGATCGGACCGAAAAGGGAACAGGAGACCACCGCTGGTGCGCTCTTGTTCGCGCGCCGTCCGCCGTTCGAGGGACGATCGCACCGCGAACGACTCGGTTCGACTGTACCGAGCGGTCCGCGAACGGTTTGAACCGGTGGTCCGCCGTACGTATCGCTCAGCGAACCGGTTTTCACGTCCAGGTCGGGGACGGGCAACTCGAAGTGACCGGAGGGCCGTATCAGGGAAAGCGAAAATGAAAAAAAAAAAGGTCGTTCGATGATCGGCAGAGTTTAACGAATTCGAAAATCGACTATACGACCGAACCGACACGGCGGTAGGACGAACGCCCGATAACCGTGTTCGCTACGCCGTTACGGATCGATGTGGTCGAATATCGTATTCAATCGGGGGTAGGGGGTGTAGCGGGCGGCGGGTAAAGGGTGAGGTCGCGGCGCGACGACACGGATACGCCTTGCGTACTTTACGTGTTTACTGCTGCTGCTGCTGCGCGCGCTCGAACGTCTCGACGACTGTTGCGGTCTGTACAAAGCTGAGGTTCACTTACAACACTATCGTTTATCAGTTTACTATGTGCACACACGTACGTTTGAAAACGTATTTACAAATGATATGTTTTGTTTTGCTCGATATTCTTAATGTTGGCCGACCGTCGGCGTTCCCGTTCCGAGGGCGATGTTGTCTCGTGCTGGCTGACGCGTTGGTTCGAACGCGTGCGATCGCGCGCCTGGTACCCTCCGACGCTCGGACGATGTAAACGAAAACAAAAAAAAAAAAACCCCCGATCCCGACGCGCCACGAGGGTTTTCGGTCCCCCCCCCCCACCACCACGTTTTCATTGTTTTCCAAACCTTTGGGTTTTTCCTCGATCCGAGCCCGAGCACTATGGGCGATCGCAGTTGTCGGTCGAGCACAACGGTTTTCAACCCGGGGCTCGCCAAAAATAATGGACGAAACGATCTTCCCACATTGTTTAAAAACGAAATCTAGTTGATTATTTATCATTATGGTAAATCTTTAAGCGTAAATCGATCGAAATCCTACACCATGTAAATATTTTTTCGGTAATTAAATCAAATGTCGATGGACAAAACAACATTATTTTTTTTTTTTTTTTTTTTTTTTGCTGAAGGGGTAGCGTTTAAAAAAAAAAAAAAAAAATAAAAAATGATGGGTCGCGATCCGGAAAAGGTCGAAAACCATTGTTCTAATATGTATTATGACTATTACGGCGTATATTTGCTGTGCACAGGTGTTACCGCAGTTTTGTCTAGAGCATTGTCTTGTTCGAACAAACTACCGGGAATTACTGTTCGAAACGTTAAACGAAGAACAATCCTTATTCAGCTCTATTGGGATTCTTCGTCTCGATTCATACGTCGTGCCCGAATTAAGCGGATTACTCCGAGAGTACGCACGGAACTCGCAATCGTTTATCGTTGTTCGGCGGCTCCGAATGAATAGTATGATGTTCCGCTGCTTTAGTGGCTGTCGTACAACACTATATATTATACTATTACAACCGTTATAAATTCATCTCGTCACTTTTATTCCGTCGTGCATTCGTACGTAGTATTAGCAATATTCGTATTTAATTCTTTTACGGATGATACCTAGAGTGGTGTTCGAAATATCGTTCGCGACGTTCGTTTACAAAATCGGTAACACCTGCGTTATTGTAACGTTACGCGATACGATCACTCCTAACGGGATAGGTATTCCGTTCCACGACGACCGACAACACTCGTTTTCTCAGCCAACGTTATAGTGTTTTTTTTCGAAAAATATACCGGTACGTACTGGGTCTCGTTCCGGGGTACGATAGCGTTTTGAAAGAAATCATCGACATGTGTTTATTCGTTTATTTTGTTGTTTTTTTTTTTTTTTTTTTTTTTTTTTGTGAAGTTCAATAAATACCGCCGTACATCCAACCGCGTTCGGAACGTTTCCTAATACGGGGAGCGGAATGGTTTCTTGAAAAATGTGACCGTTCGGAGCCAAAATATAAGCGTCTAGTCGGGACCCAGATTAGAGTCAACCCGACGAAATGTTTAACGCGCCCGCATTCCGAACTTGAAACGGGACGAGTACGGTAAATACCATGGTCCGCAGATTGAACTACGAATCCAGGTGCAACAAAGCAGGGGGTTTAAAAAAAAAAAAAAAAAGATAAAATAATATTTTCGAGAACACAAAAACCGATCCGAACGACAAGTGTTGCTGGCGTTGTTGTCGACACGAAGGCGAGTACCAAGCCGCGCTCACGTTCGGAACGAAACGCGTAGACGACGGACTGTGTTATAACAACAATCGCACAACCGTTGGAAACGCCCGTGTCAAAATATCAATTAAACATTCGCCGAAACGCTGTTCGACGAGTCCGTCGCTTTGGCGTGCACATTATTATAATCACGATAATAATGCACCGTGCGATCCATCGGAACCGAGGACGAGGGGTGAGGGGATGAGATATTTTAATTTGATTCAAATCGAGGAGCTCGCCAACTGACGATACGAACTGTCAACGCTTCTGTTGACCGGTTCATGGGATCCGAACTGTGGAAAAATCGATCTTAACGATTGCGAATAGGTCAATATGGGAATTAAGATTTGCGTATTTCTCGATTGCTGATAACACGCAACGTTTGTTTTCGATAGTATCGAACGGATTCGTACACGGTTTACCGTTTTATTTAAAAAAAAATAAAAATAAATATTTTTGTTGGTTTGTTTGCGCGTTCAACGTCTTTAATTCGATGTCTGTTTAAGGTCCAGTATTATAATTAACTCCGAGCCACAGCGATAGTAATATAATTTGACCGACACGGTGGCTTCCGGAAAAGTATTACGTGGGCGTTTTCGTCGAAAGGGCGTAGACAATTAGAAAGAGATAACGAGAAGAAAACGATATAATGGTGTTTTTTTTTTTTTTTTTTTATGTCCCTCGTCCTCGTCGTCCGCGGATCGTAAAACGACGGACGGACGTCTAAAGCTGTTTGCGCGAAGAGCAGTTTTTTTGTTTTTTTAATTTTTTTGTTTTGCTTTGGATGTTTCTGTTTTACCGGATTGTGTACATCACAGTAAACTAATCGTGAAAAACCGCTCGACAACAATAATCGATACCGCGCACGTTAACAGCAGCAGATCGACGAATCGCGGATTACGGGTCGCGGCGTTCTTGTCGTCGTTCCACTTGTATCCGGGATCGACCACGTGGATTTTCCATCCCACGTTGGTTTGCGAATAGCTCTGCAAAACACGAAAGGAATTCGATTACTAATTTTGCGCTGCACGTGAGGTGCACGAGTTTTTTTTTTTTTTTTTTACCAAGAAAATCGAGAACATTGTTTCGGTCGATTCGTGACTCTGAACAAAACTGTATTTTTACATAATTCGATGTCGTAATTTACTTTTTGTACCATCAAGCAACTTTATAGTTGGTCAGTTAACACTTGATGTGTATTTGTCAAGTTTAAAGGGGGCGTAGTGAGTGATAGAGAGATATCCGTTCAAACGTTTGAGTGCATTATAATCGTTGCTTCTCTGACTTTATGCATAACCATTTGAAACCTTTTTTTATATAAAATTTAAACAACTCAACGTATATAAAATTATGGTAATAAATAAAAAAAAAAAAAAAAAATAAAAAAGAATGTAGTAAAAATAATGACTACGAATAATATTATTGATTTTTGGAACACAAATTGGCCGAATTAACGTTTTTTAATAAAAAAAAAAAAAAAAGAAAAAAAATCTTACCTATATAAATACTTTGGGCAATAATAATAATTGATTACAACGAGGGTGGTATACTGTATATTACGTTGGTAACGTACAATACTTTCAGCGAATTGAAAAAAAAAACTCATATCGGTATGGCGAGTTTGAGTTTTTTAGACGTCGTTTCGACGTATTTAATAAATGTTATTTGGTCGCATATTCTGTTTTAAACATACCGTTTGTGCGGTTTAATCACCAGAAAATATTAAAATAGCTGGAATTATATTTTTTTCGATCAGTTTTTTATCGTTTGGACGCATCAAAAATCACTTAACAACGACTTGGGGTTACCATCCACAACATTGATAATAACTGCGTCTAAAAGTAATCTGTACTGTTGGTAGTTTGGTACAACTATCCGCCGTTGTATACTATTTCATAAATTGTGGTTCGTATAAAAATGTGTCCTGTTTAAAACACATTTCTAAATTTAAATGACGTTGACAGATTTTATTTTGGAACTTAATAAGTCAAACAGTTAGGTATGAAAAGTGTTAATAAAGAAAAAAAAAAAAACCCCTAAACTATTTCATAATTTATTTTAACCCGATGATTTTCAGTTGATTTTTAACAATAATATTTTATGCACATTTGGAATTCTCGGTTTGTTGAAATGTATTTCAGATCGATTATAATACGAGTATATTCAAAATGTGTGTACATAAGGATACCACGTTTGTACAATAGTGTATAGTTAGGTTTTTCAGACTTTTGATTGTATTTTATCGTTAAACACGTGTAACAACGGCAATATTTATTATGTTAAGACACGTAAAATGTATTTAGTTTACACAACACCAGTTATATGTGTTTCAATGTATCAGCGATGTTTGGTTTATAATACGTTGCAACTGTTAAATGTGTTGGGTGGATCGTTTATATTTTTAATATATATCATAGTAGAAGAACGATATTTCTTAATAAAGCAGGTTGAACTTTTGATGCGCTAACTTTTGTAAAAAAAAATAAAAAAATAAAGGAGTTTAAAATTTGATAAAATAAAAAATTTCAATTGCCACCTATAAACAACACGAGTTTCATTAAAATATTTAGAAACCAAGCAACGTCTTTAACTAAAATCTATAATCGTTTAATGAAAAATCGCAGGAATATCCAATTTCGTCAAAATGTCATGTTATAGCGATTCTAAATAATTTTTTTATGATTTTTCAGTAATCTTATTTAATTTCACAATTATCAAAAAATCTGTTTAGTAAAAATATTACGTAATAAAATAATATGGGATTGTTATCAACAGTAAGAATTTAAATCTCGGTTGAAATTTTATGTTTATTCCAATTTTTCTCCGTTTTTCTCAATTATACCTAGGGAACGGTTGATAAATTAAAAACCCCTCTCTCCGGAAGTACCTTCATCTAGAACCCATATTAAAACGAAACCTATGTTTAATTTATATTTGGTGATGATTGGAGTACACTTTCTGGTCTAAATAGTATGCATACATCATGGTTAAACTAATAAATTTTTTATTTCATTCAAAATCTAAGATACTAAGTATTTAATTGTAGAAAATTATGTTTAATAAACTTATGGATTATCATATAAACACCTCATACAGATAACTGCAGCCGTACCATTACAATAACAATAATAAAAATTATGAAAACAACAATGAGGACGTAAATGTACAGTATTGCGATATACGAGTAATAAATAGATAAGCACAGTGGCGCCGAACACGTACTCCAAATAGTTCAATTGAACTGCCTAGAAAATTGGAATATTAAAAAATAAATAAAAATGATCATTAAAAAATGTAAATTAATTATTTTATACATTAATTGACACAAATATTTTCTATTTAAAATAGTATATTTACTAATTAAACATTATATGACATTTTCAATTATTAAAGATGTTAAAAAAAATCTTTTGGTATTTGAACGGATGGGTGGGTAGATCTAATTATTTGAACTCAGCAGTTTCAATTTCATTCGGCGCCACTGGATAAATCATTTGTATCTTTACCAAAAAGCGATCGGATTGTTAAACATACAATGCGTCACATTATTTTATTTTATAATAACAGTCCGACATTTTGAAAACAATTTTACAAAGGCCACGGGAACGTGTACGATACTATTACGAGATGGATATAAGATTATAATACACAATGGATTTTTTTTTCATTTATATTTTTTTACTATGTCATTTTTATCTCTTATAGGTCATAAACCGTGATCCGTACGATATTTTGTAGATCTATAAAATATCATCTACTTTACTCGTATATGAATATGTCGGTCACGTGTATGCGTCTGATGCGTTATTTTCAAAGTAGATTTTTTTTTTTTTTCACTAACATTCAGCATAATGTCGATACGTTCGAATAGTATACCTCCGAAATAATTTTTATCGAATACGTTGCACTTTTTTTCTTTTTTTTTTCATTCTTACACAAATGCCACGTATTTATGTGATTCGACGTCAATCCAAACCGAATCTCGTTGATTAATATTCGATTTACACAGCTTTTCGTTTAGGGCTCTAAAACAATGGTGGTCTTCTTTTGTTTTCCGTGCACCGTTAAACATTGCCGTATTTTGCACTCCGGAACGTCTAAGAACGTTTATATCTACTATCGCCCATTACGATGAACAAAAACACGTTTAAAACTTTTGAGGTTGTACACTCGAACGTTTTACACAACCTTTTTTGCTGTCCATATTAATATTTAATCTCGCGCAATATGCACACGTGCTGGGGGAACGATTGAGTCCGAAAATCGAGTGTAGAATTTCTTCTGTCTGGGGCTCGTGTACGAAAAACGACAAGACGCTAACGTGTACGTAATGAGATTTGCGCAGGGTTCGGGGAGAGAAGAAAACGAAAAAATATGTTCACCTGATAGTAGACCAGGTCCGGTGTCTCCTCGGCGACCGTCCAGTTCAGTATGTCCGGGTTGCCTTCTTCGCACGACAATTTCAAAGAGTCGAAAAACGCTTGAAAGGTTTCCATTTCTGCCGAACGATCGTACGACTTGAATTTCCACTCGCAAAAACGACCGGCTAAAAATAATATTCAACAGTTATGTATTTCGTACGGCCGGTAATAGATTTGTCGTAGCGTTGTTCGATCCGTATTTTACAAAATATTAAAAATATTACGTTTAAACTGTAAACGAGTATTGAAATCATAATGGAATAGTTACAAAAGTATAATCTGTAAAACGTAACCGAAAATGTCTAACCGTCTAAATTTTGTAAAAAAAAAAAAAAAAAGAAAGAAAAAAAGACGGTTACAAAAAAAATAAATAATATTAAAATAAATATTGAATGTATGAAAAAAAAAAAAAACCTGACGAAATATAAATCTATATTATTTTACCGAAATGCCTTTTAATACAGTACGTATAACGGAATTCGTCAAAACGATATTGTAGGAGACGAATTTCAAGCCACGTTCAAAATTTATCAAAATCCTTTCTCCGAAATAAATAATAGTATACCCGTCGTGGGGAACGGATAACCGTCCGAGTCGTAGACGATGCCGGCAAACACTCGTTGTTTTCTCTGCTCCGCGTCGTCTTTCTGACCGAATCCTCCTTCGGCGCTGTCGGTGATGTAAAACGGATGATAGTGTTCCGCTTTGCTCGGTTCGTTTCCTTCAAGAAAAAAACATATTTTAAAGATCGTAGTTGTTCGAATCGGACGGTCGAGGACGTATTTTGAATTTTTTTTTTTTTATCGCTGCGTTTAATATATTCATTATTCCCAAACGGAAACGAAAACCGAATACGCTCAATGTTTTACAACTGATCAGAGGCGTGCCCAGGATTTGATTTTGAGGAAGGTTTTAAATTCTTAACGTTAGTATAAATTTCCTTGTGATTTATGCAACGGCCAGCCGGATTAGTCAATATATAAATACAAAAATCAAAAAATAGTATGAATATTATAGATATTTTATAATATTCCAAAGGGGAAGTTGATGGTGCGTTATTCTGATTATTTTATTTCGTTATTACGTAACATTTTAATTTAACATCCTAGCTTGTTTTAAACAATTGTCCTATAATATTATTTTAAACTCATCATTTAAATTCTTACTTTGATGGGAACTATACGTTGGTTTAACATTATTCCACCGACTTTTGAAATCAAATAATCCATATGTTCATGGTTTAAGTGATCAACTTGATTATTTGAAATGAAAACGCACAACGTGCAAAATGTACATAGTATTTTAGTCAAATATTGATGAATAAAATTATATACACCGTGACTGTGTAGTATAATACAATTTACATTTTCCATATTAAAATATTTTCAACCGCCGAAACCACCCCCTGGACACGTGTCTGAAACTGACATCTATCTTTGTAATGGTTAGAGTGAAAGGTGAAAAAAAAACATGGACTTTTTTTCGCAATAAATCAGTTTTGCGTTTAACTGCGAATTCCAAAAGTTAAAATAGATCGGACATTTTAAAGCCCCTTTAAGGTAGGTTTTTACATTTTTCGAATGTTGATGATCTTTTTATTGCAGTGCGACGGTGAATTCTAGCGAGAAAAAACAGTGATTTTTGTGTAGTCTAAAAATTAAAAATGTAACTGTTTAAATTTTGTAATATATTACTTATTACGCATTATCGAAGTTATCACGTAAATCTAATGCTGTTCTGATATATTCAGATTTATTCTTGTCGTCGGTTAATTAGATTGATTTTTTTTTTAAACTACTATTATATTTAGTAAACTTTCCGCTACCTACTTATACGGATATAGTAATATGCCGTACTAATAACGATGCATTTGAATTACGTTACCTCCTTCGACGTAGAACGTGTACGTCTGTTTCCTTTCCACGTAGATTTCTGGTATGAGTTTATCGTTGATGTACCAGACAACGTCGCCGGTGGGGTAACCTGAAACCGAGGGAGTAAACAATTAATACTGATAATTCTGATAAATTCGATTATGAATTTAGGCACCAATGTAAAAATGATATTATTATGTACGTAAACTGTTTGTGTGATCGTTAAAATATATGCGTTTTATTCTGCGATCAATATCACCTTAGCCCCTGGCGGACGATAACTCTTCATTCAGCTCTTTTTAATGTTTCTCGTTCGGTCGCATTGATAACAGTCCGAAAACGAATGGTTTTGAACGTTTATACTAATAAATACACATACTTATAGTGTGCCCCATGAGGATCGGCTGATCAGGATGAATCTCGCGTGTAAATAAATATTAATACAATCGGTTTTTCTTATGTTGAATCACACGAACGAACACTGCATTTATAAATGTATTTAATAAATAAATATAAATGTTATTACAGAAGAACGAAAACACAAAATATTATTTTTTATTTCTAATAAAAACATCGTTCAATCACACGGGAATTATTTACTTATAAAAAACGTACGAAAGTTATATCTACTCGTGCGATTTATCAAACGAAAAACCGAATTCGATAATCTTCATTAACACAGGAGGTATCGTGATTATCGAACCCTCGTTCGATTCATCTTGTACGTTGCGGCGAATGAAAAACGTGTAAATGTGTAAAACGTGGTGATCGGCGAAGATAATCATTTTGACAAAAAAAATAAATTGTCCGTTTGGGCGATTGAAATTATTTTTACCTGAACGAGGTAAGAACCTGGTGACGGTCATCGGACACTTTGGCTCTGACGATTCTACTAATAATTATTAACTACTATTATAGGTATAAAGTAAAAATTGTACATCATAACTAGGGCTGGAATTTAATGCTTTAAAAGTTAGCAAAAAATTCTTTAAAAAAATTGCAAAAAAATGGCCTAAAAACCGCAAAATAGGTCCTAAAAAATGCATTTCAAGTTAAATTTGTTAAAAAAAGCAAACGAATGCGAAATAAAAACTGCATTCATTTAATCAGTATCCCTTGAAACAGATTTTCGCTTACGGACCTACGTGTTTGGGATATCAGAAAAAAAAATGCAATTGCATTAAAATCCCAACCCTAATAATAACACTTCATAGCACTGCTTGGTTCCGGGCTGGTGTAAAGTTCATTAATTACGGCGGTATTTCAACCCGCACTTGAACACAATTCATATTTGTGTATTTTTTTTTTTTTTTTTTTTTTAATTATATTACGGTATACATTCTGTATTAATCAACCGAACGACAATCCTTTTCCTACTTAAGATGAGACGGTGCGGTGGACCGCGATACCTGGTGTAAAATCCGCCTGACGAAACAAAACCAAATCTATAAAAAGTACTCTTATGCATTCGCCCAAACAGATCATATTTTGGGTGAATTCGGCCTAACGCGAAACGCACGACTAATTTCCTGAGCAAATCAATTCTTCTCCCCAACCTGCTGTTCACATTACGTTTACGCAGCTACGGTTCACTTATTGCTATCCGTACATCGTATAATCCGCATCGGGAACATTACAATACTACTGCCTAATACAGCGAATGACACGAGATACGAATTTTTTCGCATCATTTTATTTTATTTATTTATTTTTTTTTTATCGTAACCCGTAATATTTGGCTCGAATGCGAGATGTCTGGGAATAACGATATAGAAAATGAATTGCGTGTACGCGGTTCTCCTCGTTTGGATTTTAACGTCGTCGAATCTAATCGACTAAATATAAAATATCACGGGAATACATTACGCGCAAACGATTTTTGAGAACATAAGACTCGAGTGTTTACGAAAAAAAAAAAAAAAGCAAAAAAATTATATTTATATATTACCTACGCGATATGTACGTACGACGTTTATATGTTTATTTTTACTCACTACGGTTTTCCAAAACATACGAACGATCGTAACACCTACGGCGTATTTCACTCGTCACTTTAGTTTAAACTAGGGTGGGTGACCATACGTCCCGTATTGTACGGGATTGTCCCGTTTTTCTCTTTATTGTTAATTTATAATTTTTTTTATTATTTTTTTTTTATTCTACGATATTTTTGTATCACAATATTCAATAGAACATATTTTAAATCTATACTTATCAACATTATTTTTAGATTCTTGTCTTGACAATAAATTATTATAATTGCTGCGGGTATAATATAGAGAACTAATAATGTCACAACATTATCGACAACGTTAACAGGTTGACTGCCTGGTTAGGTTAGGTTTTTTGGATTTTTGTGAATATATTATACTTATTAATATTTTATTTGTATTTAAAAACTATTATACAGCATACATTTAATTTTTTTTTTATACTAATATATTTAGTTAAGTAACTTATTAGTGTCCCCTTATTTTATTTTTATGGTCACCCTAGCTTAAACCATCACCTACCGCTTTTTAAGATCAATTGTTACCGTCAATCGTCTTCGAAACATGTAGGCGCGTCATAACTATGTAGTACACTGACCGTAATATTACTAGTCTAACGAAAATTCCGCAAACTACTTGATTTATGATAGTTTCGAATCCTGGTATTAACGGTTACGAGTCATGTATATTTACGGTTATTGGAGATAATTGTTTGAAATCGATCACTGTTTAAGTTTTACTTGTTTAAGCGTGTTCTCAGCCCAACATCTTGCTCTGCAGAAATTAAGTACTCGGTGTTTATCAGAACCTTCAAAATACAAAATTAAATCTATTATATGTGTCTAAAAAAAAAAAAAAAAACTATCACAATGTATAACGGTAAAATTAATATTTTAATAAACGCAGTAATCGACGGAGAAAATGGACGTCAAACGAAAATAAAAAAATCAACGGGAATGCTACGGGTGTAATAACGATGAATCGTTATTTTAAAGTAAGAGGAAAACATTTATCATATACATAATTATAATATTGACTATACTGTATAATTAGCCAGGTAAATATGAGCTGTAGGATAAATTGTTGTTCGGCATAAACCAGTTGTAAAAATGAATCGGATAACTAGGAAATAAATATAAAAATCGTAGAATAATAACAATAATAATTGTCATAAGAGATATGAAAAAAATCTCTGTTTAAATACGTAAATGATCTATCCAAAGAACGGGACTGGCTGTGAACACGAACGCCGAACCGAGATCGAAGGACGGAAGAAACATTGCAAAAGCCGTTTGACGTCCTGTACGTCTTTCCGTACGCGTATTAACTTGCGCGCGCCATACGTTTACGTTGTTACACGATTTGCGATGCGATCCGCGTACATTTTTCGCGAATAGTTCAGACAATTAACGATCAAAACTCATGTCGCGTTCAGAAATTCCTGCGTAAACTTTGCGGGGCTCAGGTGCGCCGTGCATTATATCATCGCGAACGACGGTCAAAGGACGTCGCCGCTGTCGTCGCTCGTTTAATCTCCCCGACTTGTACGCGTGTATTCATCACCGTTATACGTGCGTGCAGGACGTCGAAAGGCTTAGAAACTTTTCGATCGTTTCTACCGAACACCCTGTATAAACCGTGGACTTGTACGGTCGACCGTCAGCGGTGGCGGGACGGGCAGCTCGGACCAAAATCGGTAACCCGTTGCGTTATATACAGATGACGTGCATGGACGTGTCGCAAGGACGTCGAGCACGCTAAGCGTCATTTTTCCGTTCAGAGATTCGGAATTTGGAGACTTTGCGCTGCGTTCTATTCGAACGATCAAAGGTGTTATTTACCAGGGTTAATCAGGCGAGAAAACTGACGCGAGACCAACGTCGCAGCTCCGTCCAGAATCCGAAATAACGATTTTCAAGTTGAAACAAGTATTTCAATAAAAAAAAAAAAAATAATTGATTCTCAGTTATTTACTATCGAGATGTCCGTCAAACGATTTAAGTTCGCCGACGTAAAACATTAAGATTTTTCTTCACGCTCGCGACACCTTAACTTCCGGAAAGTATACAGTGTGAAGTAGCTGAAATCGAGTTACCCGAAGTAACGATTGATGTTAATTTCTTGTTGCACCAATCTTAAAAGTCATACAGTAGACGTCGCCTGTAACGGTCCGGACGGATCCAAATACATTGAAAAAAATCGGTCACAAGACTCAAATTTCGTAAGAAAAATCGTAAAAATAATCTTCTGTATTGGTAATTATTTATTAGCGTAGTAGTTGAATCGCTGTCAAAAAAAGACAGTTAGAGGCTCTAGAACTGCCCAGGAGAGTCGTTCATCACCGAATTATTCAGTTAAACGTACAATACGAGTACGAGCAGCATATTAGCAAAATAAATAAAAATAATAAAAAACAAACCAAAATCACAAATAAGAAATAAAAATATAGATCGTTATAAATAATAATAGTTTATTTGTCTTATAATAAATATTATGTAATATCTAATGTGCAGTAATAGCAAAATAAAATTAGTGATCGTATTCACATTTTTGTTTGTATTTTTTTTCCACTTCGCCTGTAAGATTCGTTCGGTTACAAGACTCACTTTATGCTGGTCCCGAAGTAAGTTAGTCTTATAAGCGGCATCTACTATCATATTGAATACTGTATTTTTTATGGTTCTAGGCCAAAATAGCGAAATAATTAACCGAGAGTATAAAAATCACGATTTAATAATAGCGAAAATGCAGTTTTTTATAATTTCTATTTTTAATACTATACATTTTAATATAGTACTTGAATAAGTTTCAAAACTTATAAAACTGTAAAACTATAACCTATTTTATTAATAATGAATATATTTAATAATGTAATAAATATTCTTTAGCAGGAAGCCACCCTAACCTAACCTAACCCCACTATATGGAAATTTATTCGTGTAATACAGAAAATTCGAAATTTAGAAGAATTAAAACGAGAACAGTATAATGCTATAGAACAACCATAGATAAGAAAAATTACAAGGACTGTGCTAAAGGACTTCATTCGTTAATTACAAATTATAATACTAATGATAATAAGAACTTTGTAAATGGTATAGCATACAATTTTTCACTAAATGCTTAATTGCTTTTTTAAAATTATTATCACTAAATCGTATATTTTCGCTGTTTTTATTTTCGCCATTATTAATTCGCAATTTCTACATTCGTGGTTATTTTTTCGCAACTTTGGCCGGATACCATCCATTATAGGTAAAATATGATTTTAAATCCAAAAAGTTGTGCACAACTCAGAAACCATGTCCGTATCGACGTGGTATGTATTCGAACGTATTGTTTACGCACTTATATCATACCATCACCAACCCCCCGTTCGATATGATGCGGGTAGGTCGTACACGTCGAACTGTACAACACCTACCCCCGCGGACTGTATTAACTTCCCCGTTCATCCCGGGGGAAACTTCGTAAACTATTTGTGGAATTTCTTACCCGTGATTGACATGTAGCCCCGGACTCCACCCGACGGTCCTAGCCTGGCCGTGAACTTGTTCTCGCCGATGATGATGTTGGGGGGCCATGCGGACAGTTCCATGTCGTCGTCCAAGTTGAACAGCGACGTGGAACACGTGTGATCGTCTCTGGAGCTGAACGTTATTCGTATTTCATCTGCGAATCCGACAAGTCGAACCGGTTAGTCAGTCGATATTATTTGTACGTGCACGGACCATTTTTGCACGCCGACGGATATTGTGTCACGTTCACAATGATTAAACCATACATGGTTCGAGTCCCGTTCAAGCCCCTACCGTAATACATTCGCACCCCGCAACACACTGTTTTCACTGTCATCTGTTCAAAAATGTAGCCGTTACGGCAAAAATTAACATGTTCATTAAATGAAAAAAATTTTTTAACCAATGTCCGATCACTTCTGAAATTTCAAGGACTCGCGTGTTACTCTTCCCATTCGGAATCCCTCCTAATTATGTCTTCCCTTCACTTCCTCGCTCAGGATAGTTCTCTTTCTCTTAAAATAGCAACATAATAATAACCCGCGCTTCGGGTATGTCGATATCGATTTGCTTTTTCAATCCTGACGAGTTTCGAAACGAAAACCTACACCGCCGTCCGAATTAGCTTTACTCAACGTTTGTTTTATGGCGACACACTTAATTCAAACATTCCATAATTCTATAATATACTCTCGTGTGCTAACGTTTTATTACCGATGAGAAACAATCAAATCGAAATCCTCAAGTTCGTAAGTTTTAATCATTCATCACTCCGAACGCTGCGACAAACATCGAATGATATCGATTTAAATGTTGCGCGATTCAATACGCCTCGTGACGCACCCGGACTCAGAGACGATGAGCAACGAGAGCACGCAACTCGACGGTTTCGTCCGACTTAGTATTAATGTTTTGAGAGCGGAGTCGTACCGAGCCATTTTTTTATCCTGAGACGAAACTGAAGCAATGCGCCCCCTATGTTGTAAGGTCGTCACACTCACAGTTTTTAATATGTACAGTACGATTCGGAAAAATCTGAAAAATTGTAATTAGGTGTCTAGCAAAACAAGAGAAAACGTTTCTTAAAATAAGTTGATTGTTCAATATTATTACGCCCCGTGCCCCCAGCTTCAGGCGCCCAAGGCAAGTGCCTCGCCCTAGTTACGGTTCTGTTTAACAGCGACGCGCAGTTAACATCCGAATCGGTCGGCGAACCGCGTGCTCGTACACATACCGATTATATAATACTCTTTTCGAGCGTGGATACGGATGAAACATGTGCACGTCCGCAAACGCGCAATTGTTATTATTATGCGTACCGCACGCGCACGGGACCGGCGGTGCATATTATTGTTGTAATTAATTAATTAAATCGATCGAAGGTAACCGCGAAGTACGGGCGGCTCGCGAGTGCCGCGATGGTGAAATAGGGGAGGTGAATCGAACAGCTTCGGAGCGATAAAAACGAACTTCAACCCCCCCCCCCCCCCCCCCCCCCCCCCCGCCCGCCCGCCCGCCCGCCGCCACGTGTTAAACGTTGTTACGTCACGGAAGCCGCGTGAAGATGGTAGATTTTCAAAAAACCGAAAATCATACGGCAGCAACGGCTTCTCGCGCAACAATGATAATTATTGTCCCGGTTAAAAACCAATCAAAGGGATTCCGTGTTCGCATAATGCGTATTACTCGTGTACGTCATCATACCACGCGAATCGTACGGTACCGTGTAATTCAATTGTTATTGCACGTCGGTTTGTTTGCGATTTCAATTTTGAGCAATACTGTACCGCTGCTGCAACAGCGAAAATGTCTTGCGCGTTCGACGCACGAGAACTATTGTTCTATTATTATTACAACTTCCTCGGAATCTTTTTGAAACGGTTCCGGAGCGGGGCAGCGGATTTCGGCGAACGTTTGAAATACATTTCCGAAGATAAAAAAAACGCCTACGAAGGCTGCTCCCGTCGTTCGTGGAGATTTCAACCTCGAGAAATAATTATACCCCCCGACGGTACACATTATTGTGTGCTCAATGCTGTACTTCAATGTATATTCGCCTGCCACGCGCGGGATGCTAGCCGTACAATTATCTTTATAATAATAAAAGACGTCATCATTTCAACCGCTATAATAAATTATAAAAACAACAATTAGATGAAAAACGAAAACATTTACTAACGATGAACAATTCATTATATTATTGTAAAACATATATTTTAAGAAACTATTGAATGTTTTTTTTTTTTGCGCTTAACAACATGTGAAATCATAAATACAGCGTGAATACTGATATAAAAATAATGTATACAGATTATTAGATTAGGGAATCAGCGGTATACGCAAAGTTAATGATACAATGAATAGTAGAAGTGAAGCGGGAGCGACGAAAAACATCTCAGTCGGGCATTATATAACGTAGGGAAAATGAAATAGTATGGTCTACAACAGGGAATACTTGGAAAGAGCGATTGAAAATTAAACGACTGAAATCGCAAATCAATTCATCACGAGGTCGGGTACGTAGTAGGGATGAATTAAGAGAAAGCTCGGATGAATGGTGAAAAAGTAAATTGTACCATATTCAATGGCGAGTGTAAGCGATTATCGGGCGCTTCGGATTGTTTGAATTTCTGAATCACTGGTGTTACGGGATTACGGGGACAATGCGTGCGTGCCAGGTGGTAAAGAGAACCATTCAGATTGATAAACTTCGAATAGTAGAAGTTTTTGTTGAGCAGAAACTGATATGTAAGAAGTAGAAAGATGGTTAGAAAAATTAGTCAAAAATTCCAGACAATCGACTCGATAATGCCGGTGGATCGATGCGACTAGGAACCAAAAACGATTAAAAACGTTTACTATGGAGGCTAAAAAGGACAATTAGGGATTTGGATCCCTAAGTCGAAAATTGTAAAAAAGCAATTGGTACTCGGGGAAAAGATGAATTTTATGGCATTTATTATGGCGTGACATTCGGTGTGGTATACGAGGTGTACACACGAGGGCGTTTAGTCAGTCGTAATGAGTGTAGGGGCAAGCCCGTAGAGCTAGTTAACGCATATCGGATGTTATAAACCTTTCTGTAACAGTTAAATTCTTATAAAATCTTATACAGTTCGTCGTGACTGCAAGGTTTTATTGTTGAAATGTAATACAATTACGTTGTTCGCGTGGCGTTGTCTTGCAACGTGGACGTATTTTGGTCGAACGTGCGGCGTAGCCTAAAAACGTGATTTGCAGACTTACGACAATCGTGACGTTTCTCGAGTTATCGACGAAAGCCTCTGCGGTTAAAAAAGTAATTGAAAAACTAAATTTGAGACTGCGGACAGCGGACTGAATATATTCTATGCGCGTGCAATATGTACAACGTACATTGTAATATGTACATTGTACATGCATGGTCGCAATATGACTTGTTTCGGCGTAAGACGTCACAAAGTGTTACACGCGGTCGAGAAATCTATACGAACAACGAAGTTAGAGAATCCATAGAGACAGAAACAACGTAATATTATTACAATGCAGTTCGCAAATACGATTTTTTATTAATTTATATTACAATATTTTTTAAAGACCGCACGGAGTTCAGATGTCTATTGTTTGTTTCTCGTATTTTTGTACTCTTATTGGGTAAACTGTCGTTGAACGTTCTTATACGTGGCTGTAACAATCGCGCTTCATAAAATAAAGATATGTCATTTTAAGATTTTTCCAGTACAGTAATTGAAAATATTCACGCTCGGCTCGAACAACGCTCTTCAAATTTTCCTCCGTACATTTTTTTTATTCAATATGTAGTATGAATAAAAACTTATGATCTTTCCAAAAGAGATATCCATTGAGCCATTTAAAAACCGGGTGTTTAATATAACGTGTACATTATGTTGATAATAACGCGACGAAAGTTCTTGGCACGCTTAATTATCATTATCGTAATATAATTTCGGAAAATATTATCAGTGGACAAATAGTAAGTTCCCGAATAAAAATAAAATGTGAATACGACTTATACCTATAAAACGGGATAAAACAATTTGTCAAGTACGACTACGTAACATTAAAAATGATTTAAATACCGTTCGTTCCGTTATTAAATTATGCAGGAAAAGTATGCAAGATTTCTCTATTTACAAAAAAAATTTATAACTATTTCAAAGTCGCTGAAAGAATCTAAATTTAAATTATTTAATTTGCGCGATACTCTAAAGACTTGTTCGGGAGAACATTTTTGTCTCACGGAAAAAGTTTCAAACGCAGTTGTATTTACTTGTCCCAACTATTTCCGATGTAGTAAATCGTGCAGCTCAAATTTTTGCTGACGATACATTATTATTTTCACCAAAATACTATTATCAACTTTTTTATTTTTTCAATATTTTTACATTAATTTAATATACAGGTTTATGACATGAAAATCAACTAAAGTATAAAAAGAATTATTAAATTACAAATTTTTAATGTTTTAAGTGTTCAAGTATACTATTTATTTATTATTTATTTATTTATATCATTGGCTGATTCTAATTTTCATTTAAATTTAAAAAAAAAGTGCACTCAATATTTACATTAAAGAAGGTTCATCAAAAATAAAAGTTTTGGTATGTGGATTTCATTTAGACAAGGTAGGCTTAAAAGTATCCAGAGCAATAGTAATTATTTAAAAGAATATAATTCGAAGACAGAAATACTATAGGTCTCTGGTCAAAATTGTTTTCGGCTCTTCGATAAGAAATACAGCGATGTACTCATATTTTCGTGTTTAACAGAAAATGTTTCTATCGATAACTTTGATTTTTCTGATTATACTCGTATATTTGACAATTATGTATGTCCTTATGTAGTTTTTCACCAATTGTATTGATCAATAAACCTATAAAGGAAGCTAAAACGACCACTGGACCAGAATCATTACCAACTATATTACACTTGACATCTTTCGGTCCATCAAGTTATTAATACTAGTATATTGCTAAATATTCAATGTGAAAGAAAAAGTTCGAAAAAAACAAAATGACAATTTTTTTTTTTTCAGTTCAAGCTTGAACAACATTAGAAGCAAACACAATATCTGTACATGAATATTTTAAAAGTAACGGGACGATTTTTTGATATAAAATTGTAATCAATAGTCTTAAATTGTAAACATTGACACTACTGTTATGGTATTTTCTTATTGTATACGTTAGAAAAAATATTATTATTGAAAAAAAAAAAAAATGTAATTGATAATTTTTTATTTGTAACATAATAACAGATTTTATTGAGGTATCCGAAACCGTGTCGAAAGGACAACATCAATACATTTTCATGGAACCCAATCGTGCGACGTTTTCCGTAGGTAAAAATGCAAAACGTGCGCAATCGTGTGCAGCACTTCACGCGTTACCCATTATCGTGTTGTTTCCAGCTGCTTTATCAGCACAACTCCGAATCACGTAACCGTAACTTTGAAAAATCTGAACATTTTCTTGAAACAGAACAATTGATAAGAACCGTGGTAACGCACGAGACGCACATCGCTACAGTACCGTAAAAGTATGTGCAGGTATACGCGTATAATGTTGTGTAACGATACGTACGAAGTACGTTGCAAATCATCAGTCGGAATTCAAAGTCCACGCGTTTTTCTTTATGTGAATTTCCTAATCAGGTCTTATAGCAAATGATTGTATCTTACTGTCGTTTTGGGTACAGCCCATTTGCGCAAAAAAAAAAAAAAATGATTCGTTTTGGGTACGACCCATTTGCGCCAAAACAATGAACGATATGTTATTTCCGACAACCTTGTTTGCTCCAAATTTACTTACGTAAACATTTCACATTACCGACTTGGTTTAATTCATATACAGTAGTCGCCACTTATTGGTCATTCGAGTCTATTAACCGAATGAGTCGATAAGACGAATGACCCCCCCCTACAAAAAAAATAAAAATACTTATTTACTTAAAAAATATTTATTGAGATTTCAGCATTGTTTTATGCTGTAATAAAATAAAGTATGAGTATTAAATAGAAAATATTTTGTTCGATTATAAATAATGTAATAAAGTAACGAATTACATACATAGTTACATTTTCAATAAGAATCCATCCAAATTTGATTGGATTTAACTAACCTAACCTTCCTCGGTCAACTTCATAATCACTTATATGCATGATTACGTACAAGTGTACGTATTGGACGTATGTACAATATTATATTTATTTATCTAATTTAAAATGACTCCATTAACCGGTGTGTGAGTCTAGTAGACGAATTTTTTGCTGTGTGTTAGTATAGATGCAAATCGGGAACAGTCGTTTTGAGTCTAATAAGCGAATGAGTCAATTAACCGTGAGTCTAATAAGTGGCGACCACTGTATTTTAAATTCCTGCGTGTAACGTATCATAAAGGTATTTTCATAATTATAAAAATAACAAATTCACGTGCCATGAATATGTACGAATAATCGTATTTAATTAGAAAAAAATATTAAAAAAAAATATTGATTTGTATTCTATTATTTATATTTGGCTGATTATTTTTAAAACAAATCATTGTATTGGCTATGGTTGAAATTAAATCGTAAGATTGATTATTATTCGAGGAAAAATACTAATAATGCTTTACTATAATCATACCAGGTATTTTATTTGATTTTTTTTGATTTTGATTTGAGCGCAAATGAGCGATGCCCGTCATTTGTGATCGAAATGTAATCAATATGAAACATTCGGATAAACAATAATGCGGGTGGACACCATGGTCTGTTAACGAGATCAATATGCCACTAAGCTACTTGGAAATGTATGACGTATCTGGAAAACTACAAGCTTCTCCGAGTCATCCTAAATCACGTCAACGTGGTTCATTTTATATTTTTAATACAACCGACACAGTTAGTAGTAGTAATTTATTTATCACGTTATCGCGATGTTTTACACGTCGTTTAGTACGAGATCAGCAAATACATTTTTTTTTTCCATCCCCATAGATTAATGTTTTGATAAATAATTAAATTATTAAAAGTCGGAGGCTAAAATATATACTTTTTCGTACTGCACACTTAAGGGTTTTGTCATGCTCCCCTTTCAAACGTTAACAGTTATGAGTAACACAGTTAAAATAGTTAAAATTTTCGATTTTGCTGATGACACTCGTTCATCTGGGAATTTTCAAAATATGTAAAATAATCGAATAAAAAAAAAAAAAAATGTAAAGTTAAAAACAAATACCATAATACGAGTATAAAGAATAGAACTACAACACACTTTTTAATTTCGTGTTATACACTTAACATTTCGTACTGCACACAGTTGTAGTCCCTGTTAAAAGTTTTACTCGTTCAGAGTATAGATTCAGAAACTTAGTCTGAATCCTACCATTTCAAACCGCTCCGATTTTTTCCAGTACAATTTAACATAATGTTGTTCAAAACAACTCGCGGTAAGTCGTACAGTTTAGCCGTAACCAGTGTCGGAACTTATCTAGATAAATCAAAAAAAAAAAAAAAAGAAAAAGAGAGAATACAAATTTGTACTGTCGATTTATTTTATTGATAAATAATATTTGACATTAAAATTCTTAAATAATACCGGTAACGAAAATCGCATAAAAATATTATGCGTTATAAACTTTTTCGTTTTGAGCTCGGGGCACAATGCTCGAGCACAGAGTGTATGTTATTGTTATATGTTGGTGAGCGGTGAACTGGTAAATTAATGGAAAAATGATTATGATTATTTATTAGTGAGAATGAGCAACTCAGTCAGATCCAACGTATATTTAATTGGATCTCATATTATTATTTTTGACACCGAATAAGCCTCTGCCACCAAATGCGTTTTTTTTTTTTTTTGTTATTAATCATTAAAACCTTCAACTACATAATGTGTAATAATATTATTATTCATACATCTAATAAGTAAATCTAGTAAACCTAACAACGGTCAGTATACAGTTTATTAATGATTTTTGTTTTTTCAACATTATTGTATGTGTATGCACAATTCAAACAATTTATATTGCAGTGAAAAACTAGTCGGAGTTGATACATACTTATAATATTGAACTGTATAACTTCCTCATTGATGGACATCCAATGGTCAGCATTTAAACGTTTAACTATTAATGTATTTCTTTTATTTTCAAAAAAAAAAAATAAATAAATATTGTATTTTGAAAAAATACGATTTTTCACCGATCACGTTTTCTATTACATGGATTACGCAGTTCATCGTGTACACTACTAGGCTTTCTAGTGCTTTACCGCAGACTTCAGACTTCAGTAATTCGGCAGGAACAACGAGCACACATCGTCTGTAGTTTAACGGTCACGGTACTGTGTGCGGTGAACCCGTTTTCGATGTCGAAAAATATATAGGGGGGGGGGGTGGGGGGGGGGGGTTTGAAAAATCGGGGGTAGGTAAGTGGGTTGGTTGTCTCGGAACAGTCCGGCGAACGGTAGCTAACCTGTGGTCATGTCCTGGACGGCGTGGGCGCCGGGCTGGTCCGAACCGGCCAGCGGACCGACGGCCGCTATGACCAGCGCGTCCACGTCCACGGGCACCGGCTGATCGTTGACGGCCTCGTTGGTCTGCACCGGGCGCCGGTACACCACGCACGTGACGCCGTTGCGCCGGGTCCCCGTCACCAGGACCGCGTCGTTGCGGCCGCCCAACCTCTCGTCCGGGCACACGCCGTTCTTGCCGTCGCAACCGGTCGTCGCCGACATGTAATAGTCCTCCGCGTGGAACGAGTTCCTCGCCCGGTCGTAGAACGTCACCGCCACGTCGCCGCCCAGCATCGTCACGCTGCCCGAGAACACGTTAATATATAATCGCTGTGGCGCTGGTATGTTACAAATCGAAACGGTAATTCGAGTTCTATCCTTCGGATTCCCACGCGACACACGGGCTCCCGTTGTGTGTGGGGGGGGGACGCTTTTTTTTAACGCTTTTTTTTTTTCGTGCTGCTGTGTGTTGTATAAAATAATACGAATTCATCGATTTATTCCAAAACATCGTCATTATATTTATAATCGTCCGTGTTCGGTACATCGAACGCGCTACTGTAAATATCGATCCAAGACGATTTGTTGAAATAATATTAAACTTTTGTTTAGCTTAAATTCGAGAATTTTTGTTTAGGTCTGCCCCCCTAAAAAGTTACCTATGGGCGCCCGTGGTGCTATACGAAAGAATGTTTCGTTAGCGATATCGCATCAGCCCTTTTTTAAAACAAAATTTCCTCCCCCCACACACACACACGCGCGCGCGCGCACACGCACACATACCGTCGGAGTAGATAAAACAGTACAATGTTATTTTTCAGCGACTCCGTGCGAACACGATTACCATCAGTCAACTTCCTTGTTTGAACAACAGCGAAAATGATATGCCGCTAACACTACGACCAAAAAGTGTAATCATTAGCACGTGATCACTATGATGATGACTATCGTCATGTCGGTTTTGACAAAACGATGAAAATCACGAGAGTCCTATACGTTTTTACAGCCATAGCGTTTTCGATGTTTTATACTCAAGGCTTGAAGACCGAATAGGCCCAACAATGTTTATGAGATTCTCGGTGTAAACGAATACAAATTTACTAGTGTCGCAAAAATCTTTTATAAGCATTAGAAAATGAAATGTTGACGAAACCGGATAATTCACCGAGTTCTCATTTAACTGTAATATCGTAGTTACTTTAGTATTTAAAAAACTTTTTTTTTTCATGTGTACTATAAAATATTAATCGTTACATTTTTTGAGTACTCGTGTTAGCATTTAAAGACATCTTATAGTTTCGAAATATCTATTATTGTTTATAGACACTTCAAATTTTTAATTTTCAAAAATGTTAAACGCCTTTTTTTTTTTACGTAAAAGTTAAAACGATAAAACTTCAAACTATCTTATTAAGCAGTCCGATTCTACTGATTTTTCGACCATTCTAAAAAATACAAACTGATCCCACAATCTTTTTCGTCGCTCAGATTCCTTTTTTTCAAGAGCAATGGTATATCGTTTTGAAGTTTGAAAGACAAACACATCAATAACGTTTATCCATCTCTGTATCTCACTTGATCTTAGAGTCTCACCCGACCTAAGAGTTTCGTCGTATTTTTTATTTATTTTGATTGTGTACGCAAACAATTATTCAAAACAGAATATCAGGATGGAAAACATTTCAGTTATTATAGAATCCATTGTTTTTTTATTTTTATTTCTATAAATGCCTTGAGGTTCTTTGTATTACGATATTTATTCAATTCACGATAAACGTATAAAATGTCGAATAAGAATTTAATATGAATCGCATAAGTAATATTTCGATGATAAAAAGGTGATATTTGAGTATGAAATGTACTTATATCTCAATGAAATCATGCATAAAGTAGCGGTATGCAGTCAAGGTATTTCGAAGGATTTGAAGTTAAAATATACCTAATATATAATTTATTTTTTTATATAACTTTCAATTCGCTTATACCGCTGATATAATACAACAACTGGAATGTATAACCTATTAATATTATTCGTTTGCACTGTTCACATTTTCCCAATTATTTTCCTATTGCCTGTACTGCTTCATATCGAATTTTTTTTTTTTTTTCATACTTCTCGGTGTGACGGTTGCGTGCGTGTGTAACTCGCGATTTGTTTTAAACTGCGCAGCGTTATTACGTCTTACTCACCTCTTTTGATTACCACTGAGACCGAACGCCATGTATTGGTCCTCACGTATTTTCCCGGTCAGCTGTACTTGAACCCAATCGCCTTGTACCTCCCAGTGCACTTGCAGTTTCCCGGGTAACAGATCGCGACAGTTACTCATCTCCCAATGTCCTTCAGGGTCTGAAGTGGTGCTACTTGTCTATAAAAGTAGCGTATTAAGAGTTGTTAGATTACGATTCGTACAGTAAATTTTTTTCATTCGTGTCGATTATATTTTCAAGAAGTAGGTACCGTGTAAAATGGTTACGGCACTCGGTGGATTGAATAGCCGCACCGTGGGCGTTTAAAGTTATTACATCATTTTCAGACATCTTAAAACAACATAGTTCGCGCCTGAGCGCTGCTGTGTTAAAATAAAAAAGACTAAGGTGTTCGGATAACCGTTGCTGTTTCGCTATTAATACCGGGGTAGGCGGTTGTAATGTAAGAAGAAAATAAATAAAAATAACAACACCGTTTTAAAATTACAATATCATATCACGAGGGAAACAAATATGTATATTAATTTATTGTGAACGGCAGCGCGTACAGTCGCATAGGCCGTTGCCCCGTTGACACAGCATGTGTGGACGCATGTATTCGCATTCGACGATCAATAATAATAATTATTAATATTGAAATAAAAGTAACAGAAAAATTGAATCGTTGCTACGTTAAAAAAAAAAAAAAAACCCCTCCATTTAGCGATCGCCGAAGAACTTTTTTAACTCGATAAAAATGTCATTTTTAACGATGATGGAAAACGCGCAGGAATAAGTATCGGAACAGTTCACATTACCGTTAACACGTCGTTTGTGTACCCGTCCGAACGTTTCTCGGCGTACAAGACCGTCGACATTAGAACAATTAGTGTAGATGGTAAATTATGATCAGGTGGTTCAAAGTTATGTAACGCGAAACCGTCACGATTATTAGTTTAGGGATATGTGGTGCCCACCGATATTTAATAATTTATGATAAACTGGTAACGAACGATTTGTGGTCGTGAAACGTGGAGTGTACATTATAAATATTATAGACAACAAACCCCGTACGGTAATGATAGTATTATATTTATTATTGTTATAATAATGTTATATGATATCGTTCATTTTTAATTTTTTCATTATACTCGGTGCTGGGACCAACTTTACCATATGTTTAATTATAATTAAAAAAAAAAAGTAATAATAATAATTATTATTATTACTTTTTTTTTTTTTAATTCGACTCGTCGTCGGACCGGCTTTATCATATAAATTATGATATACCATTACGACTAGTACAGGAATTACGTCCACAAAGGCAATTGCATTTAATTCGGATCGTGTACGGGGATTTCAATTTAATATTTTTAAAGGTTTAGTCGGATGCTACAGGGCCTGGTACTATTAATTCGGTTGCAAAGCCTCGACTTTAACCGAACCACATCACACATGGTAGATATTTTAAATTAGTAAAATATCATTAAAAATGTACTCACCGGATTGTACCACCACGACGGCTTTATATCCAAATTGCAGCATAACAAAAATACACACACGCACACGGTGTTAACTTTAACGAAGGGTGTAATCAATTTTAGCAATATACTATAATACGGCCTAAGCAGTTTATTCGTTCCGTAAAGTTATCGGCATCGCACTCGACGACATTATTGTGACCGAACTGACGGCACTAAAATTTTTAGTTTGTCGTAATTTATAAAAATGATTTAAAGCGCTTCAACAGTATGCATACGGCTAATTATTATTATTATTATTATTATTATTATTATTATTATGTTTTGTCTCCAACACTTATCGCAATTTTGAATATCTAATATAATAATATACGTATATATCAAATGAGTAGTGATTTTTTTTATCGATTTAACGGTTGACTGTTGCAGATAAATCAAAGATATTTATAGATATTTTATACGAACTGATTTCTAAAGAAATTACAGAAGTATTTCATACGGCACAAAAAAACATTTGTTTTCATAATTTTAGTTAAAAAATAATAATTATAAATTACCAATGGCAGTATGATAATCTTTATGTAGGGACAGATTATTATAGCCATGTTGGTAGTTTATCATTTTTTTTCAACTAAAATTATGAAAATCACTTATAATCATTTTTATGAAAATACTTCTGTAATTTATTGAGAAATCAGTTCGTATAAAATATCAATAAACATCTAAACATCAACTATGCGCGTTTACTTTTATTCAATGAAATACGTATAAGGTATATATTTATATAAAAATAAAATATAAGAAGTCAATTGAAACGGTATACATACTATTATATATATTTGAAACCGTCTATACTTTTATTTTTATTTATGAATTTTTATATGAATCGTTTAGAGCATTAAACTTATTGTAAAAAGAAACAATAACGGCTCGATAACTTCTGGAGTTGTATGATTATAAAAAAAAAGAAAAAAAAAAGTTCAATAATAATACTCTAATGTTATGTATTAACAAAAAATATATAAAAACGTAAAAACAAAATAAAAACATTAACAAAACTAATATGTAAAATAAAAAATAATTTGATGGCGAGTTGAAGGAGTTAAGTGGAATGAGTGATTTGATTTAGAAGCATTGATAAACCATCTCGCTGCATAATGATTTTTAACGAAAGTCAGTAGACTCTAGTGAGTAAAAACTATGTTTTTTTATCAACGAAAAATAATGGTGGTCAAGACGAAAAACTGTTTAGAAAAAAAAAAAAAAATCAAAGACATAACTTATTTTTAATTTAGAATTCCGAGATATTTATTACGTCTTGACAATACGGAATATTCGAAGTACAATACCGTAGATGGAAAATTAGAAAATCGTAAGAAGCCGTTTTATGTTTTGTCGAAATAAAAATGTAAAAAGCGCAATCAAATACCAAGTGATTTTCCGCGTCGTCGATAAACGTTTCGAATGGTTTGCGAAACTTCGTTCGAACCCGCTAAGAATCTTAGAACAGAACAGGAGCCGTGGACAGATGTAAGGGAAAGGGTAACGTCGCATTATTGTGTTGCGTGCGTTACAACAGTACTATTCTAATGAAAACAATAATAATAATAATTTGACAGCGATTAGTCGTCGCCCGAACCGGCAGGGGGTAAGCCGACGGACGGATACGATCGAAAGCCGAACATCCAGGGAAACTGAAATTGAGGGGGTGGTTTCTTTTTCGGTTTCGATTGACCGCCGCCCGCAACATCACTACTCACGGTGAGCTTGGTCTGGCCCAGAGCCGGCGGCACGTCCAAGTCGTCCGGGATGTTAACGTGTCCGAAATTGTGCGTGTACTGCACGCACCACACGGCCAGCCAATCGATCGAGTGCATCGTCAGGCTTCTGGGTAATTGGATTTCTATGTCTTCCCCCTGGTAGCCCTTCAACGGTTCCAAGCTGAAAAACGAAAACGGGAGCACGGTGTAGTTAATCGTTACGCGGCACGACGGTTTGCGGAGACGGTTCTCGCGAGCCCCGCGCGCCCTGTGGACCAGCGGTTCCCAAAGTGTGTTCCGCGAAACCTAAGGGATCCGTGGGACAATATTAAGAGTTCCGCATGGTGTATATGAATATTGAGAACGGTAAATTTAGTAAATAACAATCATGAACTATGTTTAAAACATTTTGTGGAGTATAGGTTTTTCAATAAATAATTTCAGAATTGGTGTTAAGTAAGAGTTAGAGACGTTAGGGTTCCACGAAAAAAAAAAAATTTCTTAAGAGTTCCGTGATCGTAAAAGTTTGGGAACCGCTGGTTTGTACGATTGCGGTACAAGTTCTTAATTCTTATCGCCTTGCGGCATTCAGCGGTGGACTGCGGTTTTTTCGTGGTGTTCACGAACGAAATAATATGTGTATTACAGTTACGCAGTCGTTTAAAAAAACATTTATTATTTTTTTTTATTTCATGTTGATCCTTGGCAATTCCTTTGCCCCCCCCCCCTTCGCCGGCAAACGCGGCTCTGAGTACAAGTAACAGAGTATGCCTCGTCTATGAACCGCGTTGTTACGTTGTCGCGTTATGTTGCGTACGCGAGACCACACCGTGGGTCGAGCAACAAAACGTTCGTTCGAATTAGCCGTTCGGGGCATGGGCGTATTTTAGGGAGGGAGAAGGGGTGATAGCCCCCCAAACTGAATCCGTATTTAAGGAATTGATTATATGTGAGATACACATTTCAAATTTTTTTAATGTGGATCATATTATAACGAAATCAAATTACACGTTGCTGTGAATACTGAATTGGACTTTTTGTCGGGTCCATACTTAAATAAAAATCAAATAAAACACAAGCAGAACTTTCAAAACACAGACAGGTGTTAAAAAAAAACTACACAAAGTCGATTCTAAGTGGACCCGGTATTAGATTAAAATAAAAAAAAAAAAAAAACATATATTATAAAGGATTCCCCTGATTTAAATATTACCAAAAATTTAACTTGTACATTTTGAGCCTGAATTGAAGAAAAAATTTGAGTCCCCCCCCCCCCCCTAGAAATAAGTCTAAACACGCCCCATGGTTCGGGGCCGCAGTGTTTGCGCCTTTCTTTTACTCCTGATATACTCGTCGTAACGTCCGCGCGTGTACCTATTGCCCACCGACCTTGGACCGCCGCGGCGTAGTCGCGATCGCCATCGTTACGACCGTACTCGTTAACGCGGACGTTGAAAAAAAAAAAAACAACAACAACCAGGTGCTGTCCGTCGACCCAAATCTCGAACCGATATCGTTTCATTATAATTTTCTTTATATTTTTTCCACCGACAACCGGGTCACGGGTTGCCGAGTTGCGCGCGAACGAAAAGTCCGAGAAGATCGTCGTCGTTTTTGCGATGCTCAAAGCCGGGCAGACACGTTACGCGGAGAAACACAGAGTGTACGAAATGTTCAGAGTACGTATCCAGTTACGATCGGTGCGCGACTTTGATTTCGCTAGACGGAACGGCAAGGGCGTATCCATAGGGGGGGGGATTCGGATCCAGACCCCCCCCCCATTGAAATTTCTACATACTCAACGACTTAACAATAAATATTAGAATACAGTGTATTTTAATTTCCCATTATCAGATAAAATAAAAATGTCGGACCCCCCTCAATAAAAAATTCCTGGGTACGCTCCTGCGGAACGGAAACCTTGTGCGTACACCGTCCGCGTAGTAAACGGTCGTTCGCTTGTCCCCGGACGATTCGCCATAATCATATCGGTTTCAACTTTGATAGAGATGTTTCGTTCCTGATTTTTGTTTTTCTTCTCCTTTATTTTTATTGAATGGGTGTATAATAATGAGAGCAGCAAATTTCTTTTATTTATTTTTTTTTTTTTTATCAGATACAATCGGTTTATCGTTCGATTACTATTTACGATTATTTTCGAAGCGAAAAAACGCAAACAACACGAAAATACGTCTACACCAGAATTGGTGTTGCAGCGCAGAAAATTTGTGTTGCGCCGCAAAAACCCCATAACTGTGTGCGGCGAAAACATTCGTGTGTGCTATTCAGTGCCGCATGAACGAATTCGTGTCGACGAGCAACGTAAATGTTTACGTCTTAGGCGTCACACTAAGGGGTATCGAGGGGTATCTTTGTTACCGCAGGAATTGTCGGGGGTTACCAAAGGTATTTTTTTGCCACATCAAAAAAAGTCATAGATTTTAAAAATATATTTCAAGTTTATTGCTCAAATGCGTACGAACCATAGACTATCTGTTGTTGTATTGATTGATTGTATTGTATATATATATGTATGTATATAATATTGATTGTATCCAAATTAATTATATTTTGTGATAAGTCCGATACGGACAATAAGACAGTGTATACACTGTAGGTCGTATCAAGATTTAACCAGCTAAGCCAGTAAGCCGGTTATCGTATTGAACATATAAAAAATTATTTTTACACTTTCTAAAAACTTTGGTACCCCAACATTTCGACTCTAGTGACGTCCATGGTTCACGTAGTGCGGAACGCGGCGGTTCGGCCGCAGGGTTCGCTTCGTTTCCTTCGGTCCGCTTGTAACGTCCTCGTCCGAACCGCCTGCGACCGTTTCCGATCTCGCGATCTCGTCACGCGCGAAACCGTCGCTCAGCCCTTAACCCCCCTCCCTCGCACGTGCATTACAAATTGTCCGTTTTACCACCCCCGTCGCAGAACCTGGTCCAGGCGCTCGTCTTGCGCCAGCCGTCGGACCCGTTGCTGTTCATCGCGTGGTACCTGGAACGCGGACTTCACGCGGACGTACCGAAAATCGTGCTCGTCGCTACGCCGCCGCGATGCGGTCGTTCAGGTAAAAACGGATCCGTTCGCGGACGTGTGTTCCGTGGCCACGGTCGACTCGACAGCGGTTTTCGTTTCAGGCGAAGCGCAGCGCGTCGCTCTCGGCGTGGCCAACAGCACCGGAGCGGTGACCATCGATCGACGGAACGTGCTCAACAGACGGCGCAGGAAACGGGTTAGTACGCGCGCGCCCCTCGCGTTTTGCCCGCGCCAGTTCGGTATCGCACCCGTAGACGCATTTCGATTACCGGCCGTTCAAGGGGTATTGAAAAACATAATCGAGCGTTCGGTTTACCGGATTTTACTGGTGCACGTTTCGTTTTAACCGGGAGCGGAACTTGGGGGTGGAAGACGGGGATTCATCTCCGGGCGTAAATTGTTAGAGGGTGTAATTTTTTTTTCAACCATTACCAACTGATTTGATATTTTTAACTTTGTTATTAAATACTGATATTAGGTAAAAACTCAACGGGTGCGATTGTAGATTAATTGTTAATTACGGCGCACCGACTTCGATCGAACGAACACCGAACAACGCACTTTTTATTTTTTTCCCCCGATACCGATCGGTCGTACCGGATTATTATATGTCGTCTGCCGATGTTCGAATAAAAATCAGAAAAAACCCTATAACATTAATTGACCTCGTTTCCGTACTCGCGGTAAAGGATAAGCAAACGAATAAATGAATAACGGAAACTACGAGCGCTTACGATAAAGTATTTTACAATGTTCCGCGAGTAAATAATACAATTTTGTGTAAATAATATACGTACACGGGTTAGTAACGTTTCAACAAAATACACTTATCAAGTTATAACAAGAAACGAATTGCGGCGATTGGGGAGTTGTTGTAATACTTCTATGAAAACGGTATCTTTCGAACTGACGAAATCCGCTGAGTAAATATGTGCAGACGTAACGCGTATTTTACAGGGCGACGACGCTTGTCAGCACGACTTTATGACGCTGTTGACGGAGTACATGAGAGCAAAAGGAGCTCCGAGGAAAGGCTGGTTGCTGTTAGGTAAAAGTGTAACATAATAATATTTCGATAAACTAATGAGGATGAGTGATGTTGTAACGGTACGACTGTGCGGTTCGTTTGTGACATGCCACTCGCAGACATTCCCAACAGCCCGGAGGAAGCGGAAAGAATGATAAGCTCGGGAATCCTTCCGACTCACACAATAGTGTTGAACGATGCGGATAAGACGACAAGTACATATAACCTTCGATACGTGTTTATGGGACAATGGATTTTTATAATTTAAACATCGATGATTCGAGATAAAATATATCTCCCCAGAAATATTGCCGAACAACACTCGAGAGGCAAACTCGATAGCTTGATTAGTTTGGTTCGCTCTTACACGTTAACATTCGAATCATCGATAATCCACAATAATATACTAATAACAACAATAATAATGTAATGACTAAAACGAAACGTTTTCAAAAGCCTCCAACGGTGATTCGATAAAAACCGACGTGCTGCGACGGTATAAGAACTTGGAATACGAAATCAAAACGAAATTCCGATTTACGTTAAAAGTTAGTACAATATATTTTTAACTCATTCGAAGGCTGTTGTTGTGAAAACTTTGCGTCAAAAAAAAAAAAAAAAAAACATTTATATTTATTCGACTTAGTCGTTTTTTGATGACTTGTGTACTTTTTCATGAACATATCGCGATCTGCGCTATAGCGCTACACAGCCTTCGCGTTACGATTGTTCGTTTACCGTTTCGTCGATGAATCATTATTATTGTTATTATTTATTACTGTCGTCGAACATCGCTGTAATATTTATGTAGGAACTTTTCGTCCGCGGCAAATCGATAGAAGAGATTACGGATTTATGCCTGGAGCAAATACTGCAGTGCCAAATACCGTCGGCCGTTCCGTTCACGCCACGTATAGTCATTATCGGGCCTAAGGGATCCAGGCGTTTCGTCACGGCCAGCGCGGTGTCCAAGACTTTTGACGTAGTTCACGGTACGATTTAAACATATGTGTATGTCACGTACGTTCGGTGAAATTGTTCGTTTCGCGAAAAGTTTTCCGTGTTCATGAAACGTAAACCATTTGTTTGCACTCCGCGAGTTACAAAACAATTTCATTAACTGCATAACTTTTCACGAAATGGACTCTGAAGGCCGGTTTACACTTATCAAAGCAGTCACGTCCGTGAACCACGAATTAGTGGCACGGATTCTACTTTGATAATATAAACACACCACACGTACGTGTGACAAGCTGGTACAAGTCGTGTTGTCCGACCCGTGCCGGCACGGACATGTATCGAAATTATCGTACGCGGCGAGAACATTTTAATATGACTTGTATTCATTCGGTGAATTGAGCAATTAGTTAAATGTATTATTAAAATGTTTTGTTGTTTAAAATATTAAATTTAAAGTTCAATTTTATTTTTTATTCGTACGTAATATTATAATGGCAGAAAAAAAAATGGTCCGAGGACAAAACAATGAAATTTATTCATTTGCACGAAAGCCATGAAGTTCTGTGGAATACAAGTATATCTGAATATAAAAACAAACACGATAGATAAATAGCGCTTTAAGTTTTTGAATTCGGTTTTCCAATTTTTTTAGTAAAATATTAAAATGACCATCGCTCATCCTCATATAGTTCATGAAACCTGGTCTGTCTTCCACTCGGAGCTCCATTAGCAACGTATATGATCCACCTAAAATATTTCGCCTAGCAACCCAATCTCACACCCATACTTTTTTTTTTTTTTTTACGATTAGAAATAATTTGGTTTGCACACTCTTGAATTAAAATTCCGCATACTGATAACACTACGTCTACCAGTTCTGGTTCCATTTTGGCTACTGACAAATTTACTTGGACAAAAAAATATAATAGTGTAGACAATGTCGTCAGTGTTCGAATTAAAGTTGTACTGATTCGTTGATCACGGACGTCACTACTTTTATAAGTGTAAGCCAGGCTTGAATTTCATATTACGTAATATTTTCCATCAACTGGCCCAACAATTTTAAGAAATAAAAATAAAAACGTTATTTTCAACCGAAAATTACTTTTAACGACCTAACGCTAAACCGTTTCATTAAGAGCTGTTTCTTAATTTCGATTCACTTGATCAACAGTTATAAAACTTGATGTGGTCATCCGCAATTGCTTGATCCAAACCACTCTTTTAGCAATCCCCGTTCAGTTCCTATCCTATTAATTTTATGTTTTTTTTTCACGATAATACCGATTAAATTTCCAGGATCTGGAGATTATCTCTCAATTTTTGATACTGGAATTATCACACAATCGTTTACCTTCAACTCTTGAATAATTCTTGCGATTTCCTCACGGTTATATGATCTTTTTTCTGGTTTAATTATTTCGGATAAGCGGCACAAATGTCAAATTATCATTATAATATTATGGAAACGTTGTACTAAAAAGTTTTTCGGTGAATATAACATTTAACTTTTTTTTTTTTCATGACGATGTTGAGCAATCGATAAAAATTATTACGCAATATGAAAAATGAGTTCATTTCATGAAAAGTTATGCAGTTAATTAAATTATTTTGTACCTCACGAAGTGTAAAAAAATGGTTTCCTATGGTTAACTTTTTATGGAATGAACGATTTTATCAAACATATGTGATATATATATACACGATAACGGGCATTTTATGAAATAAAACGTTTGCGGACGATATCACGGTGTATATCATTATTTATGCAGTCGACTTCGATCAAATATTGCTTCGAAAAAATGTCACCAACGAAAACGAAAACGACAACAGCGGAATCGTTCGAGAACCAATGCGCCATCGTTGGCTGAAAGTAACTGCATAAACAACATTTACATAAAAGCTTATGCACACACGACCCTTTTGGAATCGATGGAATCATTTCGGGTAAAATGTAACGTTTCGCTTTTGTCTTAGGAGAAATTAACAGAGAACGATTGCGTGGAAAAAGGTTACGTGCTCACGGGTTTTCCGCGAACGAGAAACGATTTAGAATGGCTCGATTCCATCGAAACGGCTCCCAATCGGTAAATAGCGTTTTCATTTTTTATTTTTCGCTCATCGAATCGATGGGTATCGAGAAATATTTTTAAAAGTTGCTTCCCGGAGACAACATTAAACCCAACCATTTTTTTACGGTACGCACAGAATTATATTTTTGGCGGTCGATTACCGAGAAATATACGCACGTCTGAAGAACAGATGTGTTGACAAGAACTCGGGCACGTTCATGAGCTTGGATCAAGCTGCCAGTAGATTGAAAGCGGGGACATTAAAATTCGAACACGTGGGCAGATATCCGTTTGATTCGCGAAAATTGTACTGTGACTTCGAAACGTATCGCGGCCATTTAAAAGTCAGTGATGTTTTGGAAAGACGCGAGGGCGGATACAAACGGCATCTGAAACGGGGGTGGGTCTAAGATTTCAAAACATTAATTACCGAACGCATTAAATCTCTCGAAATAAAAGTTTTTGATGTTGTTGAAAAAAAAAAATACAAATAAAAGAAAACTTTTTAGCGTCAATAGATGCACGGAGAAAAACGTTTTTCGTCGAAAACTTTATCTCAAAACAATAAAATCGTTTTTTGAAACGAAATCCGTTCGTCTCCTCGTACGGGACACGTAATGATCGCGTGCGTCGATCGTTTTCTTACCGTTAAAAAAAAAAAAAAAAATCATACGTTTTCGCTCGGACGGACGTGTATGAACGTTACGCGGAACCATCGATCGACGACCGACCCGCGTGATGTAGGGGGTAGCTGAATGGGGGTAATGGGTTCGGACGCGTTCTCGGTCCTCCTTGTATCCGCCTTGTGGTTCTGGACGTGTCCTCTTGGACGTAGTAAACGACGTGCACGTGTTCGTGTTCGTTCACAGGAGATGCTCTACTACTGCGGCGACAACTGTTCCATAGTGTCGGTGGACGGACGCGGGTCGGACGCGTGCGACAAGGTATCGGCGTGCGTGGCGGCGGGCGGTCCGGTTGCCGGCCCTAGACCTCAGAACCGTAAGCCGTCGAGGATGACGGAGATCCTGGCGCAAAGGATGTTCGAGTCGGACGACCGCGTTTGTCCGGCAAACACCGTTCGGCTGTCCGACGACGCGCAGCGTCTGCTGAACGACCTCCGGGAGAGGGACACGGAAACGGCATGAGAAACGTCCGTCACGCGGCACTAGTGGTTCTCGCCAATACTAATGCGATATATTGTACACGCGCGACTAGAATATAATTTAAATGTGAATAATAATCATGATGTGCTAACGAACACGGTGTTTGGAAATCGGTCGATTGCAATGTTGTACTGAACGCGCGTGAGGCGAAACGGTAAACGAATCTGTTCGCCGTCACGGTTACGACCAGGGCTTGGAACCTTTTTGATAGGTTCTTGGAAAAAAAAATTAAGTGCCGGTTTCGGTTCTGGTTATAAAAATTACAAAGTTAAGGTCTCGGTTCCGGCCAATACCGGTATTTAAAGGTTTATTTATTTTTTTAAAAATTAAAAAAAAAAATCTACTGTAAATATTGTCTAAAATGATAGAATACAGTTTTAACGGTCTGATAAAGACTAAAGGACATGGTAAGTTTAATATTTTTTTTTAAAAACTTACAGAAAATTTTTTAAACAATAAATAAGTAACCAAGAAAACAACCGATCGGTGCATCGTAGCCTAGTATGATGCGCACTGTTAATCTAACAGTTCCAGAAAACGATCGTAGGAATATAAAATTATAAACACACGTCACGTTTACGACATCAACGAAATTTTATCGTTAATCAACTATTATTATTTATCACCTAAATATATGAAATAGTTAAATAAAATTGGAACCGAAAAATTGTCTTCCGACAAATATCGGTTCCTAAGAAAATCGAAAAACGATTTCGGTAGGGTTCCGGTTAACAAACCGGTGTTTGAAATTTCGGCCGAGACATCTGAACATCCCCCCCCCCCCCCGACAGCGCACGAGGGATAAGAGCGATGAGAGATAACGGCTTTCACCCCAAAAAATAATGGTGTTAGCCGAGCTTCGCGGCCCCGCGCTGAATTGTTCCCCGAATACATTTCGACGGTAACGCGCCGTTTGTCCGTTTACCTGCCGACTTCATTTGGTACTTTGACGCCGTACGGCGACGGCTCCGAACCGTTTCCGACGAAAAAATACGCGTCCGGGCCCAGACCGTCGTAGTGCAAGTTCGGTATGTAGAACGTCCGCGCGTCCAGGATGCTGATGTTGCCCGAGCGCAGGCCGTGCGCGAAACGTTTGAACTCCGGCAGTATCCGCGGTTTGGGCGGATCCAAAGTCGAGGGTATGAACACTTCGCCGAAGTTCACCTGAGAACACCAAACGATTCCACGGTTATTATTATTGTTGTTTATCGTAAAGATTGTGTACGATTGTAAATGATCGCATGACGTTTTAATGATACGACTCGTCAGAACATGTTTTAAGTAACTTTCACTGGGTGACACTTTAACTAAATTGTCTACCAGAGAAACATACAGGGAGAATCAACTCCTGTCACTGCGGTCGTTATGAGAACGTGTTGGTTGGTGGCACTGGGTAGCATTCAATTATCACCGATGGGAGGGGGGGGACTAGAACTTTTTATGTTAAAATATGCCCTGCGACTCGTGGTGCACGTATCTTCAAAGCCAGATTAAAGGGGGGGGGTCTAGCCGGGGGTGGCAGCTCTGAGGCCCTCTCGAGTATCTAAGCGAAAGGGGCCCAAACAATTTTAAGACGATACACATTTTTTATCATACTAAAATTAGTAGTTTAAGTATAGGCATAAGTTGTATATTCTACTTATTAATTTTATAATTTTATAATGCAATTGGCAATTTGTGAAATAGTAAAAAAAATGTATCGTTCTGCGAGCGTAGCGAGTAACATTGTAAAACATGTATTGTCAAAAGGGCACATATAAAATTTCTGTCCCGAGGCCCAATAGGTCCTTGATCCAGCCATACGTATCTTACGGTCTCGAGGACACCCGAACCATACGATCTGGTCGGAAACGAACGCATTTGGTTCGTTTTCACCTGGCACCGTGTTGTGATCATGTTAAAACCATCACGTTCGGCGTGATCAATGTTCCTCGAGGTATAATTTTGCAGTTACCGTGATAAGGTGCAAGACGGTACAATAATTGTATAATTATTCTACCGTAACCGCATAGAGGGTCGAACTTTTTAAATTTTTAAAACGTTTTGAAATTTTTAAAACATGACGCCCGAGACGCACGACCCACCGTTGCTGTACGCGTGTTTTGAAACCAGCGGTCAGATTTAGAACGACGTTCAAGGAAGTCGCCTCGAAATTTCCTCCTTCTCCACCACCACCACCACCACCACCACCACCACCACTTCATCCCTAACTTCTCCCGGGAACGTCGACCAAGACGCTTTATGCGGGTTCCTGCGAGGTGAGAATTTTTACATTATTTATGATGTTCAACGACGATTACGGGACGCAGTATTTTTCTATCGGTTCGCGACTCGCGTGTCACCTTATCGCAAGATTGATTACGGCAAGGGCGGCTAAACAATGTCCATAATAAATGATACCTCGGTGTTTCGTGATATTTCACTTCTTTAAATCGGTCTCTCCGAAAATCTAACTAACCTACTAACCGGATCGTGCGCATGTTCGTCTCGCGAATAAAACGGCGGAGCGCCCGAAAAATAATATCACCTACGGCAATATATATATATATACATTAGAACAATAAGACCGTTTGTGTTGTTGTTTTTATAGTGGTACAATAATATTAAACAACACGAATTCACTATGTACGATACACTCATCATGCGCATAAATCACAAACAAGTGTAATATCGTCAGCCGTAGAAAGCATTTAATCATATCATGTAATTATAAATAGTTCTTCATTTGTATTCATAATAATAATAGAACAATATAATAATCAACTCGTACCTTATGTGTATATTTTTATAATTTTATACAATCACTTATTTTTTAGAAAAATTTCAACCCCCTCCCTCATAAAAAATTTGAAAATATTCCACTGGGTACCACAAGAATTCACTAGAAATACTGCTCCATTTACATGTTTTTCGTGGCACCACGAATTATATAGATTTAATTTTCTTTTTCTAATGTTCTTGTGTATACTTCACGTTTTTCATCATGCATATTTTTAAGTTCACCATTAAATGGTGTACACTTTTAGACATTATGTAAAAAAGGATCTCACCTGTTAAATAAATAAATATTAATTTATAAGACGTTTCGGAGATTTTTGTTTTGTTCCGGAATCATTAAAATACGCATTACTTAAGTATCGATCAGTTTAAACGTTTTACTGTATAATACAGCTTAAAAGTTTTAGGGTTTAATCAGGCACAAAAGTAAATATATTATATTAAAAAATTTTTATAACATCGTCTCAACCCTTTCACTACTGGATTAATTTTTTCAGTATTGCTATGCTGGAATAAAATTGTTTTTTTTTCTTTTTTAAATACTTTGTATTAGTTACTGTTTTAAGGTAAAAAATGATTTACTTTTTTTCATCATTATTCCAACAGATATTTATTACTTAAGTTAGTGATTGTTTCCAAAAATAGTAGATCACTATGAAATAGCAGAATTATAATTAGATAAACAATAGATAAAACAATAATTAATGTATGCAATAAAATATAAATCTGACTTAGTAATCAAAAATAATTTTATCAAATATATAATTATACTTTGAGAGCTCTCATAAAACAAATATTCCATTTTACTTGCAGTTATAAGTACATTGATGTTTATCGGATTTTTATTTTATTGTGACTTTGAATTCATTTAGTTCGTTGAATTCGTTCACCATAAGTACGTATTATCGTACTGATGAAAACAGTTGTTTTGGATTCTTAAAATTATATGATCCATATGTACGTCTACAGTACTAATGAGTTACATAACACTGAAAGGGTTAATATCCCGCGTTCATGTTTGATTCTGGACACTGGTCATACTTTCAGAAAGTTACTATAGGTAACTTAGGAGACTATACACAAAGTAAAGTTTCCTAAAAGTTCATATTTCATTAACGATTTGGCCTCCAAGACTATAGTTAGTGATATAGCTGGTATATTAAATAATTAACCGCCTCGGTCCACTTGCGAACAAGCCATTGTCATTGGGCTATCAGCCGCTCAGACAGTTTTCTCTCTGCCATACATCGCTTTTCAACTTGACCGAGCCAGCGCAAGTTACGCTATAATAATGTCCGTGTTTATTTCCACAATTACATTTTTCTTCATCCTACAAATCCTTGTTGAATTCGATTTACATATATATATAGTTTTTATACGAAAAAGTAACGAGGTACATAAAATTATATCGAGTCGTTCAGATTACATATTTTTATGTTTTTGGAAATTCCAAGACTCGGCTTATACTGGTTTGATCATATTAACCGTATTGATGTACAGACGTAATACGCGTATACTATAAATGTTTGATGTCGATTTTAACGTATTCCGTGTGCAAGTGTGCTTGAAATGCGTCTCGAAATGAACAGTGCAACAATAATGTTAGGTACGTTACACTGAAAATAACGTACGCATGGAAATATTTTAGTTTTCCGACTATTTGACATGATATAATATTATTATATTGATTTTGAAAACACAAATATAATATAAAATTTAGAGACATTATTCAGTGCTGCGCGCGGTCTTTATTAACAAATATTAACAAACTTCATAATCCACGGTACACCGTCGGTAAAAATGTTCTCCGCCTAACGTCCGCGATTTACCACCCCAGAAAACGTTTGAATAGTAATAATACTATATACTACGCCAGAAGTTGTCAACCTTTTTAGGTCCACGGCTCCTTTTGGTTTTGAAATAAAATATACGGCTACCATACGAACATTTAAAACAAACAAATTTACATTATTTTATCATTTCAATCTAACTTTATTTAATGATAAACATGTAATTATTAATATTATAGAAAACATTTTTTTTTTTTTGTGATTTTTTTTTACAGTTAAAAAATTAATACGATAATAATTATTTTAATGTTTAATGGGACGGATGTAATTATTTTTGTTGCATAATATTATCAAATCGTGGCGTAAATTTTAAAAGCGCGATTCTTATTCACTTTTCGGTTGTTCAGTCTTGCTCTACATTTAGTTTTAATAACTGCTAAGACCGAAAAACCCGTTTCACATAAGTATGAAGAAGCAAATGGAATCAAAGTCCTGATAGCCTTATTGGCTACGATCGGATACTGCTTCTTTATAGCTATCTAAAATTCTGGTAAAGATGATGAAGCAAATTTGGATTTTGATACTAAATCTGAGGACAAGTTTATCGGTTGTTCTTGTTCAGAAATTGTTAATTCTGACGGTAGACCAGTAGTAAAAAATTTTTAATCCGATTTTATTGTTGATCATCCTAAGGCACATCATTTTGTAAGTGAACAATAAGTTGCGATAAGTGTTCCATGAATAATAATTTAACAGATTCTATCAAGTTTAAATTATTTTCATGAAGGAACATATACAATGTGTGGAAAGAGTCATTCATACCAACTTCATCCATTTTATTCTTCCACAACAGTAACAATAAACAGTAAAAGTGGGTCTCATTACCTTATAAAGATACATTTAATATATTAGCTTTTTCAAAAATATCACTTAAGTACGATAGTCTTAATAAAAAAAACTTAATTTTCAAATTTTTCAAAATGTTTTGTTTTTGTTCAAGAAGAATACAATGAAGTTCTTTCCGAAGTTCAAATACTCTTCTCAACACATTTCCTCGTGAAAGCCAACGGGAATTGCAATATTACAAAAGAGAGGTATGCTCAGCTCCCATGTCTTCATACATTTGTTCAAAACACCGGGACTTTATAGGTCAAGTTTTGATGAAATTAACTATATCAATATCAGACAGCAAGACTTCATTAAAACTTGGACTAATAGTTTTGGAAGCGAGAGCTTCTCTGTGAATAATACAGTGCATCCATACAGCATGAGGATAAACCATTATAATCACCTGACATAAAGCTCCATCGGTGCATACACCAAAACATCTATCCCAGACAATGTTGTTTTTATTCATGAAAGAATCTAATATATTAAATTAATCTGCTGCTTTTTATTTTACCAACAATAGTTTTACAAAAAAGTAAATCTTCACGAAACACGTCATTTACTATGAACTTTACACAACAAACAAGATGGGCATCATTATGGCTGTCAGTTGCTTCGTCCAATTGAGTGGCGAAGTTATTTCCTTTGAGTTTTTCAATTAACTGCTCATTGATATCTTCAGCCATATCTTGTATTCTAATAGTGTTA